AGATTTAAAGTGCCATGTTAACGCCTTTGATATTATTGATGAACCCTTTGCTTTGAATAATAAACAGACAAATTAAGACAATTAGCTGAATTTAGATATTAAAGACAAGATGTTACAGATATATATGATACAATACAATCCCTAAATATTTAAAGTTTTTATAGCCCGTTAAATGTTTATCAAATTCCAAACATTAACTTTTTTATGTTCACCTATCACACATCTGAGACAAATTAGATGCATAACGTGCATAACGGACGTAATTGTAGCATTAAGTAAACACATTAGTGTTGATATTGTTGCAAGTTTGGAATTCGCATGTATCGCAGTGACCCATAGTTGATAAATCGGTGTAAAAAGATTTAAATATTTGAAACTAATATGTCAAGGGAAAAAAGTAATTTAAGATATAAAAGACGAAACAACAAGACATATATTCACAAGTTATAAACATGTCCTTCATTTTTCAATACTCATGTTTTTTGCAAAAGATAACAGTATTTCCATTTACAATACTCTAACATCATAAGAAACGTTCCAGTTTAAACTGATGTTCTAACTTCAGCTGTTAGATTTCATTTAAACTGATAAAACCTGAAATATTATCTTGTTCAATTGCTGACAACGGTGATTTATTTTTATTTATTTCGTCCTTATTGAACAAAGTATTACAATTGCTAGGTAATGATCATGATATTTACTGAGACCGTTCTATAAACATCGTCCTACTTTTACTCATTTATACAATGTTGATTGTGAACATAGAAATTGGAACACACTAACTTAAATATTACCTTGCTTTTTAACCTTATGTTTAAAGTAGTTTTATACAAAACTGCTCTTACATTCTTAATCGTTAAACAACATTGAAATTAATACAAAAACCAATGAGTTTTCACACCTTTCGTCAATCCCAGATATACATTAATATAATAACATTAAGAAATGATCTTCCAGATACAATTACCTGTAACCTTAACTTTTTGCAGACGACATCAAACTTTATTTTGTCATTTAGGATTAATGTAAATAATCCACAAAAAGTGATAACACAGAAAAGGAAATATTAAAAACTTGAGAAGAGAACAACACAAGATTTTCAACAACACTAGAAAATATATATTTAGTCATATGATTGTGGATTCTTGGAACTCATTAATTTTGACTACACAGAAGCTACATTATTGAATTTATTCAAGTAAAAAAATAAACATTTGATTTTCCAAAATAACTTCAACGCTAATTGCTATCAAACCTATTAAAATTAAAAGAATCAAAATAGCAACAGATGAGCTTGTCTGAGTTTAACTTGTTTTTAGCAATTAATTTTATCTGTAAATACAAACCAAAAATGATATTAATAAACTTATAAAGTAATGAACTGTACAAATTGACTACTCAACAAAAATTAATGGTTGTCCTCAAACAGGAGTTGGAAGACAAATAACAAGAAGGGAAATAAATCTCCAAAACGGTCTCAGGAGCTCAGCTTAGAATCGTTAATGATGTTCAGGCCTGAATACAACATGATCTACATGAATTAGTTTAAATATAGTTCTTACTGAATGTTTTGAATGGTTTGTCATAGTTTGTTGAACAAAATTAAATAGTTGAAATTCCTACCGAGAGGATTTTATTGGAAGTCTGGATACAGGTGATCCCTCGGAGGCATTATTCACAACAATTTCAGACTCGGTTTGATTGGGTTTGTACATAAGGGATAATGGAAAAATGCGATTTCCCTAATGTCCCCTATGCACATTGTGTGAATGTAGTGTGGAGTAGTTATTTCGGCATTTCTTTTGATACGGTATTGATGCTAAACATTTGTTATGAACATAGATAAATTATGCACACACTCGTGGCTTATATAACATTTCCATTGTTTTTGTAAAACATTATTCGGTCTAAAGTATACCGATTTGGATAACAAACACTTCCAGTGTGTAGTGAGAACAATTAACATGTAAAACTTCAAAATAGCGTGTTTGATAAAATAATCGAATCACCAAACATATTCAAGTTTCGTCAAAGAGTCATAAAAACAAATTAAAACATGTAACCAACACGTTACGTTATTGTATAATACAAATACGTTTTAAGGACAAGATAGACAAGATGCTTTATCATTGGTGAAATGATTTTGTCTGGAATAATACTTTAGGAGGTGCAAATTATAGTTCTTATTGATTGAATAAAAATTGATTTAGTAACGGTTTAAAAATTTAAACCAAACTGGACTATAAACTCGTCATATCTCAACATATGATTACAAAGGAAACTAAACACAAATAATTTAAGAAATGTGTGACAAGAAAATTGTTGGCATTCCTTCATTATTACAATAAAAACATGTATCAATAATTATCGGGAACAAAGTGTTTGCATGTTGTTTGGAAGAAAAATCAGTATTTGTTTTTAATGATATACATGGCATAGCACATTTAATGATTTCGTTTGGGCTCTATCCAGGAATAAAACTTCTATGTAACCCTCCAGGACAAAAAATTTTTGTAAGAACTTGAATTTTTTTTAAAGTTTTGGAAAATTTTGTACGACCGTGTTGCTAGAATAATAAGATGTCTGGTGTTTTTGTTCTATTTTTGTCTTATTTGTCTTCTTTTTCCAAATTCAGTCTATATTTATGGTAAAATGTAAATGTATATGTACACTTAACAAATGTATATAGTTAAATAACATTTTCTTTTTAATGAAAAGCAGATAATATAAGTAAATGTCCTTTAATTAACAATATATTAACTATGGATAAATAACGGAGCTTGATCCTATCTGTTATGGGAAATTATTTTGCAGCATACAAAGTGCTTTTAAAAGTATTTTCCTCGATGTTTACAAAGGCTACATACTTATTAAGCATTTTTCATTACTTGCTGGAGTGCAATCTTTTACAATATAAACTTTATCTGATGTTTGTCAGTAGATGTCGATGAATATATGTGTCTTATGTTTGATCTTGATCGTATGACTGTACAAAAAATCGGTAATAAAAAAAAACAGTGTTAACATAATTATTTCAAAATATCATTTGCCAACAAACTATTGCCAAACTTTCAGGAATGTGATCACGTTTTTTAATCACTAAGTTAATGAAAAAACAACACATACACGTACGTCAGAATGCAAGTAATAAAAATGAATTTTTTGACCATTTAAAAGTAAGTAGATATATACTAAAGGTATATATACTTCATGAAAGGAAAGCAACAATGCAACCCCAATTTTCCGACTTTTGACTAGTTATCTTAGGCCAAATATAGATCAACTGGAATATATTAATATTTTACAGATAAAAACATTGACCTTATTCTACAAGTGTGACAAATATAAAGTATTTATTTATGATATAAAATGCAAGTGAATAGTTTTTTACAACAACATTCATGGTTTTTCCACATGTTACAGAATTTCATACACGCTTTTAGATGTAAAAAAGGTTGTTGGTATAACGGAACACAATCGTAATAGGCTGTTTGCTAAAGTCAGTATTTCATCGGAGTAGATTTTCCTTTCACATAAACATCAAATTCCTTATCGGACAAAAATAATAATCGATTCATTTAAAAATGGTATATGAACAAGTTTTACTTGTTTGTAGTCTGATATTGAAATTTTTCGTAGAAAATTTTAAGCTTGTCATTTTTTTTATATTTGAACTTTAGATTTAATAACTACAAATTGTTTTTTTTTTAAGAATTGATTTAGAGCACATGACTTTATTTCAATTCAAAATACCCTTGACTGATAATATTTAAGTGTTCATTTTTTACATCATGTCGTTACCGACATAGTTAGATATGATTTATTAGAGATAAATTGTTTAATTTACAAAAACACAGAAAAATCAACGCATTGTAGCCGGATACAGTATAATATATTAGACAAAAAATGAATTTGAGATTTTCTTTGAAGCATTGACCTTAAATGTAGTAAATTCAATTGATAATGTATACGTTTTAAAAACCAATGAAGTTATTAAGTTTATATATATTTACTTAATTCCAATCATTATAAGAATAAGATTTGGATTGATGAAAATATTTAAAACACATTTAAAAACATGCAACTCATCGATGAAATAAAAACGCATTAAGTTTCTTCAATGTCACACATGGCAGCACATTTGCCTTTTACAAGCGACACAGAGAAGGGAACGTTAATGTCGTACGCATTATTCTTTCCCACCAACGAAATGTATTGTCTTTTAGATTTATCCAACTTTCTGCAAAAAACTATACTTCTCGAAAGCGTTTGTTTGACTATTAGGATACTTGTGTCGGGTTTCTTTTATCATATCCAATGTTTCTGAAGGAGACTATTTTTACTGTTGACAAATGTTTAAAAAATTGCCGTTTTCCGTACACCTTGATGACGACATTTTTTTTAACTACAAACCGTTGAAACATAATAACAGAAACATTCAATGTTTAAATGCCGCGAAATGACATTTTTCAAGTCGGCAAATGTTTGAGGAGATCCATTTTTGCATCAGGCACCTTTATTATTATTGGCGTTTTAAAAATTATCATTGTACGTGGCATTCATTGAGCTGTAACGCTGAGGGGTTTCCATGCTGTTTTATAATGCGACCTGAGACAAAACTGAATGCAACATAATCAATTATATTTTGCAGTAAAAAAGAAGATACAAAAAACTTTATGCAGGTATAAATTTAATGACAACAACGTGAATTTAACACATACAAATTTCAGCAATTAACAAAATGGAACATTTTTACCTTTTGAGTATACTTAAATCATCATAAAATAGCAACATGCATTTTAAACACTATTCTTTTTTTACTTAAAACTAGACAATCACTGTTACAATACAGTCAATATGTGTTTAAATGATATTTTTTATTAATGTCACTAAGGAAAACACATTTTGAATTTTCAAAAAAAAAAATTATAGGATGGTCAATAAATCACAAAATATACGAAATATACATCTTTATTTTACAATACTAAAATTAAGTTTTTACACAAGTGATATTGTACTGTTTGCTTTAAAATTAAAAACAACTAAAAGTGAAAATAATGTGGTAATGATATCATATTTGCACTAGGAATTCGTGTTATTGTGTTAAGGACTTCAAATATGCATCTTAATACTTGAGTTAAAGTGTATAAAGCTAAATACCAACTGCCTGTAGTTTACTTAACGATTGTTTGGATTTTAAAAACAAATAATTGAAAAGGAAATGTTTACATATCTCTTAAAGAGCGAATGGCAAATGCTCGAACTCATTGTTATACGGATAAAAGAACTGTATACGTGTGAAAATGATATTTTGTGCGAGAACAGTTTATTCTGTTTACGTTTATTATTCATGTTTGAGACATTTATTGTTAAATCGGCAAAATAGTATGGATACGTTTAGGAATTTATTTACAAATGTCATTAGATATAGTTATTTACCCTTAAAAAGAAATAGTTAACGCTTTATTGTTTTCTTTATTTGGATCACTTATTGTCGGACAATAGAATGTGCGTTATTTTATTGACATAGAATATACTTACATTATGCGAAGAAGCTTTAGTCATGAATAACAAAATAATGACAAGAGTTTTGTGAAAATTCGTATCAATATAAATACATGCATATTTAAAATATCAATCACTAACAAAGATGTAAAAGAAGCTTTTTATATATTCAACTGTTTACTTCGTTAACTGTTTAACAATAATTACCTCAGGTTTGATATAATGGCGAACTAAAAATCTTCTAAAATCAGAAATAGAATCCTATTAAGAAATACAATAACTAGGAACAAATAATACAATAAACATTTTTCAATGGTATATTTAACGGTTTAACTTGTGAAATACTCATAATATGCAGTAAAACAATAAGCCATTTAAACAAGTAAAACCATATTAAATGTAAAGCACAAATGTATATATTCAACCAATTTCCCGCAATAAATAAAACAATACAATATTTACAAAGTTGATAACGGTTACAAAGAACTTTCCCATAACGATATCATTTAGTATACCATGAACATAGTTACAAAAGCGTATCAAAAAAAGTCTAAAATGAATTATTTGATATACCAAAAAGGAATTAAAGCACTTCCTTTTAAAAAATTTACACCTTTTCCTTTTCGATTTGCGTCAAACCTACGTCCTGTCTTCTGTTTGGAATTCCGTAACCTTTTATTCATCTGTACACGTCTTTTCTTCTTCCTTTTGCCCGCTGTTCTTTGTGAAGCTAAAAAATAAAAGTGGATTTTGTCGTAGGACAATATGACTTAATAGTGATTGTATATCTTTTCTTTGTAAATTAACATTCATTTCTATTTACTAGTTCGTCTATGTTTCAACAAAAACAATATATCTAGGAAAATACGGATATTGATTAAAACAGAACGATTTATATAGAAACAATGTTTATATACTTACTTTTTATAGATCTGCCCTGTTTTTTAGAAATGTTTTGCCCGCGGGAAACATTTCGTTTGGTGCAAGCACAAGCTATTGGCCAATCTTTTATAAATGAATACTTGTTATTTTTGTATATCAGAATATCTGTAAAACAAGTATAAGAAATAGTTATCATTAGAGTTATTATAAATGATGTGATTTATTTGAAAATAAAGGTTATTTTAACAGTGTATTTTCTGTCTAGTAACTTGAAACTAGCTACTTATTTGATTACCGCAAATGGATGATATCTACTTAAAATGAGTATTTAAAATCCTTGCTATCGGACCGAAATCTTAGAGAGTATTTTAATGCATTCATCTATTCTAATGTGATGTTCAGGATCCGATTAATCTAAATTTATAATTTTACGGTAAAACATGTTTACGTCCATCTAATTATAGGCAAACAGCTTTATATAATGCGGATGTTTCCACTTGATTATATTTCCTTAAATTAATTTGTAACAATATTCGATAAAAACAAATTACAATATTGTAGCGCATATAAATGGGTTATAATACCTGTTTTAACTTCTTCACAAGTTGTAAATAATCTATTGTGTGAAGATGAGGTTGGAAATTGACATGTGTCACTTAAGCATTCAGCTTTCACTAATGTTTCTGGAATTCGTTTTGAATCATAGTCAATGGTTCTTTTCCATGGACACAATGACCTTTCACACAATCTCAAATTGGAGTCTTTCACGTCCATATCGCCTTGTTGTCCTACAATCCTTGGCAATGCAGTGTCTACATATTTATTTAACATAAATGTGCATTGCATAATTAATATATGCAAGCGGCAATTTCTGATAATAAAATATTCCATAAACAGATAGTTGTTTCTACAGTAAGATAGACACTGGTATCGAATTCAAACAAGGTATTATATAATTTATTGCTTCAATAAAGCTTTTAATTCCAATGATTGAATATTTTAAATTTACTAAAAGTTTTATTCTCTTGCGTTTAACAAATACTTAAAATTAAACTTTTCATTTATATAACGTTTAATTGGTATTAATCATCAACTACACCTCCACAAAACTGTCAACCACCGTCACGAATAACTTGGACTTGCCTTTTTATATCATAGTATCATCAAGATGAAGAATCCGGTTCAACATTTTATAGCCCTACTGTGAATAAACAATTCATGGAAAACCCTGTAGATTCTGATTTCCTATATTACGTCATAAAACAAACCCCTGAAATGATGGGAAAAACTTTGAATAAATAACATATCTTTCATTAACAATTGATGTCCAATCGGCAGTTAAGATTCAACCTACTACTGTCCATACAATCCTTATTAGGACTGAATCACTATATTAAAAAAGATAACATTCATTTAAAATGAATTTGAAATATCATCTATGTATGTGTTGAATAGGCCCTTGCACAAAGAAAACAACGTACGAGACATATATGCACTACCAGACATACAACAAGTCCTAACACAGGGATGGATAAACATTTCATAGAGCTTTGTGCGTAGCTATGTGATGAATATATAAAACAGAGAGATGTGAAGATCTAAAATCGGTTCAAGATAATAAAAATTATATAATCCCTTGTTCCTTTCCGATAAATCCTCAAGTATTAAGCTTATCAAAGGTTCAATTCTGATAACAGTATCAACGTTTGCAGTTTTAATTAATATCAAATCGAAATCAAATAAAATCTTGTTGACAAAAATATAAACTTAGCACAGAGATTATTTTCATTTCCAGGTAAAAATTAAGAATGCGTCCTTGACTGAAATAATAGTTTAGTTCATTATGTTATCGGTCAATGTCAACGAGATTAAATTGGATCAATGCACGAAGTTCCTAGTTTAGAAAAACACATTGTAACCGGATTTAACTTTTTTTCTACAATATTCAAACATTAGCGTAACTTATTGAATGAAGTATGTTATAATAAATAAACTTCTAAGATACCTAAAATACAGCAATGACAAAAATGAAATTATATTGGTGTAATTGCATACTGGTTTCCTTATTATATACGACATGTATTTTGTATGCAACCACTATTACTTGTAAAATGACACAGCGCTTAAACTGAATGTAAATGTAATATTTTCCATTAATTGTGACCGTTAACTTTTAAGTTGAAATACTTTTTTGAATATGTGCCTGGAGATGCTGGTTGAACATTGATGTTTTGTTTGACCGTGTAATGCATGAACCAGTGTTAAGGCAACTTGTCTTAAAGAAAGTAATCATTGTATTTTGTTTTGCATGTGTAGCCTCTTGTGAATGAGTTAACTTTTTGAGCATAAGAATGTGTTGCTTAGTCTCGAATTCATTAAATGATGTGTGTTTCTCTTTAAATTTCATCGTGACCGTCAATCCATCGTCTAGATGTTTGCGGTTTTAATATTTTGATTATTTTGATATCCCTTAGCCAAGTTCCTATAGCAGATTAACATTCTATGTAGCAGTGCTTTGCCATCGAGGATCATTGCGTTTTGTGCAAGCACACGCTACTGGCATGTTCTATATATGGTTGTTACTTTTTATTGCTCAATAATGTCTACAAAAATAAAAACTACTCTCTGTAAAAAAAAATAAAATTGTCTATTAGTTTTTTCACAATTATTAACTAAAGCTTTGAAGATAAATATGGAAAGTGACAATATCTGCCAATGCATGTAGCCTTTCCTATATTTTTTCAGAATTCTTTCAGTATCATGTTCGATACTTTGATCTGTCATTCAATCCTTAAACACTTGCATTAAAATAATTCTGTATCCGGATTCCTCATCTGATAACATAATATTATCAAAATTCCTAAGCAAGACTTCCAGGATGACTGTGGTCATGAATTTGTGGAGGTGTCGTTGAGGTTTAGCTGATCTTTTACTCCTTCCATTTTAATACATTCAGTGTATATTATATATTCACTCGCTATTGGTCAGCTAGTATAAAAGCTGCACGCCTCCTAATGAGCCAAAATATTTCAGGAAAAGCAATATAATTAAGAAAAATGCACTACACTTTTAAGAAAGATAAAAACATTCAAGATCCAAGTTGTATTTTACATGTAATGTGCGGTTTTAGACTGATTTTGCAGTATTTTATCAGCATATTTCTACTGCGTTACTAACGCAAAAAGGGCTATGTTTGCATATCTTGACAACTTTGTGTTATTTCTTGTGGGTTGTAAGTGCCGATTGCAATCTGTATTACTTTATTTGTTCACCTCACAATACCGGGAATTTTACTTTTAAATACATTTCCAAAATTTTCATGAAAATGAATATGAATCTGGAGGCTTGTTGCTTCAACCACTAGCTGATAAGCCCCGCCTAAATCACCTGACATCACCTCTATGTAGTGTCATAAGTAAAATGATTTAGAAACCGAGAGCTGCATTGTTTAATCTCTCCACCCATGCTGCCAAGCAGACATTACATTGGTGGCGACGAGGATGATTGGATAATATATTTCACTAGTTAAATTAGATCTAGGGGATGTGTTTATAAAAAAATTAAATGATAAATTAATTGTGGCTATTTTCAACAATCAAGGATTTATATAAACTATTTCAAGATGGCATCTTATGAACTCCCAACGCTACAACCTTTCAATGTTGTTGCGCTGATAAGCCCCGTCTAAATTCACCTGGCATCACCGCTCTGTAGTATCTTCAGTAAATTGATTTCTCTACCAATGCTGCCCAACGCCTTTAATATAGCAAACATTGCATTCAATCAACTATTTAGTGCTCGCCAATTTTTTTAAGCCAATCACCGACGAGGATTTTCAAATTTTCAGGTTTCAAATCTTAATAGAACAGATTTTATATAAACTGGACGTTTTATATTATAAAACGCAAGTGGGCGGAGCTAAGTTTCGATGAGCGCTAAAGTGAAATATAAGCATGTGCAGAGATCTTGAAGTTCACTCCTACTAATCAATATTTATGCATCATGTTTTTTCCGTACACGCACATGTATATCGTCACTACGGCATAGAATTAAAAAAAGAGGTTCATTGAAATGAAAACAGGCAAAATAACAGTAAAAATGTTTTATTACTTACGGAACCAGTATCATTTTATAATTTCCAAATAAAAAGTTCACTTATTCCAACAAAGTATGTATTTTTTATGTAAATATTACAGCCCGTGCCGCTGCAAAACCGAAAGTAGGGTGTTTTTATTAATTTTACATTTTTTTTGACAATATACTGCCATTTGTCCGATGATATGTATATGAACATAATAAATATGTATGATGCATATATAATCAAGCTACAGGTTCATTTCAGCCCGAAAAATATGTCGAGATGACGGGCGAGGCAAGACATGTCGACTTTTTGTAGCTTATTGTGAAGTTGCAGTACATGAAAATCGGGCACATGACAAATCAGCACATAAATAAAACATTCTAGTGTTCCGTGGTATACATCTTTTCTACGTGTCATACCTCCTTTCCTTATTACAATGAATTTTTACTGCATTGTTATCCATCGCTGGTTTGTTTTTAGCAGAGAATGACCTGTGCATGTTCAAAGAGGGTACCGTTTGAGAATATTTCGCAAAAAGGGTACCGATATGGATATGCACCGTGATATTGTATGATTTACCTAGACAGAGTGCGAGAATAAGCTATGCAAAGCACGTGATCCGAAAATGTGTACCGCTACCTCTTCCAAATATGGTTATACACATTTAGGCTATCGTGTGACGTCACGCAGTGTGTTGGGCGGAAAAAAATGGGCGGAGCACTAAGCCGGTTAGAGTGCATATTGGATGTTCTTCGTAAATAAGAAAGCTACAGTCGCTTCGCAAGCTCCGCTCCTTTTTAGCTTTCTTATTTACGAAGAACACCCAATATGCACTCTAACCTATACTTAGAAGCAATATCCAAATTATTTCTAGGACTGTTTCTTAGACACTTCGTCAATTTTGCTGTTAGACGTTAGTAGTAACAACAAAATCTTGACATACAAAAGAAGGCAAATTATAATAAACAATATGACATTCAAAAAGTTAAGTTAGTTATAACGTTATTCTGTTTAATTGCTTTGATGAATTGGTGTTCTGCAAGGCATGGTTCTTTTTCTTCTAGTGTTTATATTTCTTTCTGATTTCAGGTGGTCGCATGTAAACGATACAATAAGAATACCTTTGAAAAAGTTGATAAGTAAATTCTGTGCAGATCTATATGCTACCAATGTAATACCAGATTCAAAATGTTAAATAACATGGATACATGAAAGATGAAAATGGCTAATCTCAGGTGACACAAACTTAAAGCAACACCAGAAGTTTTAACTACCTCAACTGCTAGAGCGGAAGAGATGCATAGATACAAGTTAGTCGAATCAATTAAGTCGCCCCTTACGATAACGCAAGGATAAACGATGGCTGCAATTCTTATACCTCAACCATTATATGCAACACCTCATCAACAAGGGTCAGGTGAACAGAAAACGACACGATAGTCCCAATGATACAAGAAAATAGAGAAAAAACAGAGCCACTTAAGAACGGCAAATCAATTAATAAAAAGAGCCGGTTAGAACCGGATGATGCTCCCTGAATAGGTTTTGGACACAAAAAAGTATACCTCTTGTAGTTTCAGAGTTATGTCCCGGCCAAAGTTCAAAGTGCAATAATTGCAAAATTAGGCAAGGCAGAGTTACTGTTGTTTGCACTGCACTTCTCCTCAATGAGATATATTTACCAAGTTAAGTTTCTTGATACCTCTTGTAGTTTCACAGTAATGTTCCGGACAAAGTTCACAGTGTAAAATTGAAGAAGGGCAATAACTCCAAAACTTGTCAAGGCAGAGTTACGGTTCTTTTGCACTGCAGTTTTGTTTAATGATATCTATCTACCTACAAAGTTTTATGTTAATAACTCTAATAGTTTCAGAGTTATAATCCGGACAAAGTTCAAAGTGAAAAAGGGTAAAACTCCAAGAATAAGGCAAGACAGAGTTATTTGCATTGCTCATCTACCCAGTGAGATATATATACCTACACAGTTTCTTGTTCGTATCTCTAACAGTGCCAGAGTTATGTACTGGACAAAGTTCAAAGTGTAAAAATAAACAAAGGGCAATAGCTCCAAAATAAGGCAAGGCAGAGTTACTGTTCTTTTGCACTGCACATCTTCCCAATGAGATCTATCTACCTACAAAGTGTCTTGTTCATATCTGTAATTCCGTTTTTATTTTTAGAGTTATGTCCAGGACAATTTTCAAAGTGTAAAATGAACAAAAGGCAATAACTCCAAAATTATGCAAGGCAGAGTTACGGTTCTTGTACACTACACATCTACATATTGAGATATATCTACCTACAAAGTTTCACGTTGATATCTCTTATAGTTTTACAGTTATGTGCCGGACACGATTTTCTAAAAGGGGAGATAATTCAAAAAAAGGGCAAAACAGAGTTGTGGTCCTTTGGCTCTGCACTCCATCTTAATGTCCTCTACCACTGTGTGCAGTTTAAACAAATTATGCCCAAGGGTTTTCAAGTTATGCTCCGGATAAGTTCAACGGACGAACAGACAGACAATGCGGCGACTATATGCTCACCCTTCGGGGAGCATTAACATGTTGCAGGATGGGTTTGATTGAGCGTGTTCATGGACGGTACTAGTTAGTGTAAGCAGGGTGAGATTTTCTTGTTTGGCGAGGAAATGTACTGACATTTGAAATTGAATGTTATTGGTATGATAGTTTTGTGTTTAATTTTAAGCCACGCCGACACTTCAAAGGTCCTATGACGACTTTCCGTCTTTACGTGGAAAAGACCTTCGAAATCAAAATCAATATATATTTAATCTAACAAGGATATATGAATACGTCATCCATACAACCAGGACACTCATTCACAACCGGATATTGCAGCAATTAGCATACTTAATAGCGAAAGGAACGTTTGTACATTGAATTTTTCAATTATCAAATACACATTTTGAACTTTTCCAAGTATAAAATCATACGATCAAAATCTATAATAAAATTAACTATTCTCTCTTTAAACATTGGCGAGCCTCCGCAACCGCCTGATGTCTGTTGTCAGTACATGTATCAATATTTTATTGTTTATATCAGTCTTGCATACGCCTTGTTTTCATGTTCATTTCTATTAGCGTTCTCGATCTGTCATCACCATGCGTAATGAATAAAACGTTTTTTGTTTTAGATTGCAATGATATGTAATGTACGTACAAAACTACATATATTAGAAATATACTGTACTCAAATTTGATACAGCAAATATTGATAATTGTAGTTAAATATTAATTTATTTTATTGTAATTATTTACATCATTGAATATATGACATATTACACATAAGATTTGCAAATTTCAAATGCCTGTTTTGACAGACTGTAATATACATTTGGAAAAAAAGGTTAAATAAAATTTAGGCAAGCTTCCAAATTTTAAACATTTGACTTGAAAAAATCAAGACCATTTTGGGGACTGAAGGCAAATGTTAGGCAATAAAAGTTTTCAAACGGTCGAATAAAATATAAGTTTTGGTTAAATTTTGTAAGAGTTTAAATTGTAAATTTAACACAAAAGGTACGGTGTCCCGTTATAGCCATCGCAACCCACACATAACTCGAAACAACGAAATAACGATGGTATAAAGACAAAATAATGAAACCACGGCGGTGAAAGTCAAAGGTACGATGATGAAACGTTTAAATTACGATGATGAAATTCGAAATAACGAAACCACATAAGTGAAAATTCGATATGATTAAGATTTTTAGACCTTTCACCGTCGTGCTTTCGTTGTGTCATTACTTCGACTTTTTACCATCGTGCTTTCGACTTTTAATCTGCGACTTTTTACCACCGTGGTTTCGTTCTGTCGACCATCGTATTTTCGTTGTGCCAAGTGTGTCGCGAGGGTCCTAACGGGTCACCGTAAAAGGGTAATTGTGATTCAGATTGAATGTTAATTTTAATACGTAAAATTAAGGCTGTTATCTAGACGTATATTTGGTTCAAGTGCAGACAAAGGCTTAAATTTACTTAATGATTTTGTTAAAAACGTTCAAATTTTCCAAAGACAAACAAAAACAAACAATAAAAAAACAAAGAGACAGAAAAAGGCAAATAAAATATGCCCTTACTCTGTGTTCATAGTGTTTTACAGCTGTAATATCCTAAAACTGAAAAATGCAACAAGTACTTGCAACATCATTAATGGGCATTTATCTAAAGATATAAATAAAAACTATTGCAGCAACAACATATTTTAATTTAGAACATAGTCCATTCATACGCAGAAAAAAGGCGGCTATCATGGACAACATTGTTTTAAAGAAGCATTCAATTGAGACAAATTGTATAGCACTCTCTGAATCGTATTTTACTTTAAAAATAGATGCACTAATGACAATATGAATAACTATTGCAGTTGCATATCATTCTGGTATTGCTTTTGCTTTAAATTTGTAGAGAAATGTTACAAGAGAATAAAGATATTAAAACATGTTTGAAGCGTTCAATAAAGGGCAAGAATGTTTGATAATCTGGAAAAAATGGCGTTATATTATGATAAACTTAAATAGTTAATGTAATCAAATAGTAAATAATTGTTATATCTGATAAACAGCAACATTTAATGTAATCGAATTGTATCTTATTGTTAATTATATCTGATAAACAGAAACAGTCAATGGTATCGACTTTGTGAGGAAAATAACACCCACAAATTTAAAGATCTTTATAAACAATATAAAATTCTTAACTCGACTAACGAAAAGTAGTGTAAACATAATGTCTACTGAGATTTTAAAAAACTAGATACATCACGATGCTAGAGTAAAATCTCCCTTTGTACCGTCATTACAACCACACCGGCAAAACTAAAACTCGCCGAGGAGTTTTATTTAAAAATGCAATCTTTATTAAACGCAAAGCGACAAACAAAATGAGTTACACAAACAATTATAATCTAAGATTAATTTTTCTGTCAGTAATGCCAATGCTTTTGGTCTATTCTATAGCCTGATACCAGCAACTGAATCTTCCCATGCGAAAAAGTCGTACCAAGACCTGACGTCAGATAATGATGAATTCAATGTACGCTTCAACTATTTTTATTTTGAAATTGACCCTGTCATTTTAAAATATTTAGCTAGGTAACGGCTAATGCGTTTGGAAACGTCCGTTCATTATATCTACATATAACAATTTGACAAAAAGGGTTTTCTTCTGGAGATTACCAACTATGTATATCTGATTCAATACTGTCTTTAGCAGTTTCATAAACTTCGTTTTACAGACCCCTAATTTAGAACTAAAACAAAAAATATAGCCGTTGTAATTATTTCAAAAATAAATAAAATAGTAAACATCATTGTATCAAATGCCTCGACAACGTCTTGCCAAGCTCTGTTGGATCTTCTATGCACGTACCCTCTGCGTCCTGGACGCTCATTCTCCTGAAGGTCATTTCCGGTGTTGTCTGCATCACGATTGACGTCATTTAACTGTTTGTTAGTGCTGGGATAATGACTCTTTTTGGATTTAAATAATTTTATGATCACATGCCCAATCTTTGGAATGGGTCTGTTGTCCATTGTATGATGCATCTGCAAAGATATCACAGCCGAGATAAGCGTGACTGTGCTCACTATGAGCTGGAATGTCACGTATAAGCTCAAAAATGATACTCCGTCAATTGATTCCGGCAAAGACCCCGTGATCGTTGTCAGAAACACAGCTAAAGTTAGAAATATTGATATAGGAAAACTTGTCCTTTCTCCACTTTCACAAGGTACGTAGAATGTTAACAGGTTCAAACATGCCAGTATCAAAACTGGAGCGACTATGTTCAAAATGCACGACACACATGAACGTCTTAGTTTCAAGTGGTAATGAAGAACTGTGTAATTCAAGAAACCTATATTTGTATTGTATACATCAATCTCGTATTTAACGATATTGTCAATAATATGCCATTCAGCTGTTTCAATATACTTTTCAAGATCGATTTTGTTTTTTGTTGCTATTAGTTCTAATTTGTCATCTTCATTCATGAACTTTGTGAAAAGTATTTCGCAGTGTTGTTCATCAAAGGGGTACTGTTTAGTTCTTATTTCACATGAAGTATCAAAGTTCACTTGTGTCCATAATACAAGTTCCCCTGCATGTGTCAAAGAAATATATGCTTCTTTTAATCCCAACTCTGCCGGTTTATTTAGCGCATTTGACACCATTAAGTCCGGAACCCAAACATTCTTATGATATGGAAACACAAAGTTTGATATTCCCTCATGTTCGGACATGTTCCAAATGAGCAGTTCATCTTTCCATGATAGTTGCACATCAACTGTTGTTCTCAGAGACTGGCGCTTTTCATCCACTTTTATTATCTTTAGCAACGTTAGGTCAATTGTCACAATAATTGGTTTGGAATGGTCGAGAACCGGTCTAACGTCAGCAAAATAATCCTCGAAAAGATGCTTCCTTAGAGCGCTTAACGTATGCACCTGTTTTTCGCCTGCACTGACTTGCAATATACAGAAAGATATTATTAGTACAATCATGTTGTATTGTTTCTTGATTTATTTTCCCAAATAATATTTATATTTCTTTAATACAAAATAGTCTAACACAATAAAGATTTATTGAAAAATTCTAAGGTAAATATTCGTGATTAAAATGTTTCCAACTGAAATGCCATATTTCGGTTTTTCATTACATTTAGCTATTTTTGCATTAGGCACGCGAATGATTACATACTGGTAAATATCAGTAATATATAACATCCCTCTAGTATCAATTAACCTGAAAATGCCGCCTCTAACACTGCCGACACCTTTTGTATGATTATTTCAATCCATTAGGAAAATTTATAAACTGACTGCACAGTTGCAAAACATTAGTTTGCGGGGTTACAGATCAATTTCATGCAGTAAATGAATTATTCATCATTATTACTAAGTATGTTGGTTTCTACATAAAATAAACATACTTTTGATGCAGTCATTGAACTTTAAAACAATTCTGATCAAATAGATTGTATTTGAGATCTCTGTAAACTGAATTGTTCTTGCCAATTATCTAATATGCCAAATAAATTAGTAGATGGACACGTTCAGTCGGAATTCGTTTTAGTTAACTTGGCAATAAAACATAAAATACAATGTAATATAAAATATAGATAAAGAATACTTCTTATTAGCACAGCAAGACCAAATGCTTACATTTTTTGTCAAATGAATAACCGATCATTTTTATAATGTATTGATATGGACTGCATGAAATATGAGCCGCGTTACGACAAAACCAACATAGTGCGTTTGCGACCAGCATGGATCCAGACCAGCCTGCGCATCCGCGCAGTCTGATCAGGATCCATGCTGTTCGCTTACCAACTCTATTACAAGAAGAGAAACTGGTAGCGAACAACATGGATCCCGATCAGACTGCGCGGATGCGCAGGCTGGTCTGGATCCATGCTGGTCGCAAACCCATTATGTTGGTCATGACGCGGCTCATATTGTTCATTATATTATTAAAGGAATATATTGATATAAATCAAGAATCATCATCTTAAGAAGTAGGATTAATATGCACTGGAAGTTATTTATATATACATGAATCTCGATTAAATTGCTGTTCTACTTTTGCAGTACTTTTACCTGTTATTATCAAAACTCGTCAGATATGGTCAGAGGTTCAATCTGAAAATGTGTTATTTACCGATTCATTCACAAGTAAGTCGAAAATTATTTCACATTCATATTTTATCCTAAACCGTTTCAAATATCAACTGTTGGTCAATCACTGCCATAACAGTCAATTTTTCTAAACATATAGTAAATTCAGCTTAACGTGAAAAAATAGCATAATTGCACTTTAAGTCATTAAGACATACAGTATTAGATATATCAACATATAGTATTAGATATATCGACATACATTATTAGATATATCGACATACAGTATTAGATATGTCGACATACAGTATTAGATATATCGACAAACAGTATTAGATATGTCGACATACAATATTAGATATACATTATTAGATATATCGGCATACAGTTTTAGATATATCGACATACATTATTAGATATGTCGACATACATTATTAGATATGTCGATATACAGTATTAGATATATCGACATACAGTATTAGATATATCGACATACAGTATTAGATATATCGACATACAGTATTAGATATATCGACATACAGTATTAGATATATCGACATACAGTGTTAGATATATCGACATACAGTATTAGATATATCGACATACAGTGTTAGATATATCGACATACAGTGTTAGATATATCGACATACAGTATTAGATATATCGACATACAGTGTTAGATATATCGACATACAGTATTAGATATATCGACATACAGTGTTAGATATATCGACATACAGTATTAGATATATCGATATAAAGCATTAGATACTTGAAAATGAAACTGATAATGCACATGTGACACATGACTCAAGATAATAATTAGTCATTATAATAGCTACGACCAGCTCAATTAATTCTTCCACATTTCAGATTATCTATCAAACTGTTACGGTTTGGTTGTTAGTGACAAAAAGAGAGCAACAAGGCATTCTGTAAATTTAGTTTCTAGTTTAGTCATCCATCCAAAAAGTAGAGTATAATTAATTATATTAGTATGCACGATGCAAATGCTCAAATGACTTTATTACTACACGATACTATCTGTCTAGTGCACCAAATGTGCAGTTTATGTACATCATCCGTCCTTATCAATTCGGAAATGCAAACATGTCAGTTATCATAATGCAAATTTGTGCCAAAATAAATTGCCCTTAGTGTGTTAATGCATGATTTTATTGATAGAAGTTTATCGTCTGCAACTCTAAAGGTCAATGATAAAACAAAAGTAAAAATGCTAATGGTAAAAAATAAATATCCCCGACGAGAAATTCATACCGGTTTGTACTAATAAATAATTTCCAGTTTCAGTTTCGGTGTATTCACACAACACATGAACGAACATATAACTGTTAACTGCCTATAACACTTTGACAGAAATTACATTTGAGAACAGTTACATATTTAATGAACCGCCAACCGATATCATAATATACTGGTTATTTAATAGTCATTATGAAAAAGAAAGAACAAAACAATAAAACAAATATCACATAGACTAATATAAAAATTAATAAGAATGGCAATTTGCCGATTATGTGGTAGTGATATAACTTTTTCAAACATGAATGTTAAATATAGACACTAATATCTACGACCTCTCAGTTATTCAGTTAAATAAATTACCATTAATATTTTAACATATGACTAGAATGCCCCATTTAGAAATACAAAATAACATACCGGTATGCACCGTTTAGCATTTCTAATCTTAAAACACATCACACAATAGTCTGACTGCAAGCTGATAGAGCTTTGAATGTCTGAATAGTTTGCAAATGGCAGTATTTTGGAATGCAATCATTTCTAGTATTGCGTCACAGTGGACAAACAAATGTAAAATGATACTCGTCTTCAATTACGCTCATATAACAAAAATACATTTTCTATCAGAACTATACATGTTACGAAAACGGTCATCTATAACTGCATGTTTAGGAACACAATGAGACAAAGAAAAATGTGTACTATTAAGCGTTGTTCAATGAATGAATCTAAACTTACTTTAAGACATTCGAAAAAAAATAATTTTAATCAGGAATAAATGCTAATAAAAATAAGTAACAAATACACTGTTAACAAATACACTGTATCTATACCTTGCTTATGCCATATGTATTTCCGATTTCCCTTTGGCAACTGTCTGTTTTCATGCCCCAAGTTTTTGGGGAGAGGGGATTGGTAGACAAGATTTTTTCTTCAGTGAGTGTCATACTGTCCGTTCGTATACTGAAAAGGGTGGACTATCGGGACATGCCTTGGCATATTTCTTGTTTATGAATGCCAGTTGGATGCTTATTATCGTTTCGTTAAGTGTCGTTCATCATTGCTAATCATATCGTTGAAATGTTCGCACCTCAAAAGCCGCAAAAGTTGAATTTGCGACATTTTTCAAAGTAAAATGTTTATATGCTAAATAGATCATTGGATTATGAAAATAAACAGTTCACATTTAAAGGTTAGGTGCTATTTAAACGGGTTTCTTAATGCAGTCATTGCATTGACTATAAGTTTACTATTGCACGCCCTGCAAACACTCGCTCCATCTCCTTGCACCATACCGTCCTTGCTGTTTAAATATTAACTCTACCCTCTTTCCCGTTCCTCACTGTTGTCATTAAGTAGATAAAGTGGGTGTAAGAATTTTAAGAATATCTAATTTAATAACTTAACAGTGTTGCATCATCTGTAATAATCAATGTTAGTCTAAACTGTGACCGACTTCTTTAACTTTTAGGTATAAATTAGTAAGCTATCTTTATTATACTTCCTCAGACAGATTGTCTAGCTTGTCTAGTCTGTTCAATCCAAAAAGACCTTTCGTCTGATATTAATTCACAAGATGTAAGCACGTATTGGAAAACATAATTATAAACTAGAGATATGTCCAGACGACACAGATGTCCCTCCCCCGACACATTACATTTTACCTTCAAGTACAATCTTGATCCAGTTTTGTGCGTGAAAAAAACATCTTGACTCTGGTGAAGACATCTAGGTAAAACATGTTTTGAGAATCCATCATGTTATAAGAAAATTTTGTATCATAGTTTGGGGACCTTTCTGTTGAAAATGTGCCAAAATATGTCGTACCCACAGTGCGTTAACTGGAGGGCAGGTATGTGTTACCCGCACGCCAGAGCATGCTCGTTGATTGGCTCATTTTTTTCTGGGGTTTACTTATTGTGACGACAGAGAGCGGGATAATGATATGAATGTCATATTCAGATGCGCATTCATTGGTTGCTTTTTTCTGAGGTTTCATAATGTCGCAACAGGGAACATGTTTTATTTTTGCCTATGAAGAACATCAAAACACTCGGTAATCTGATTTATACTCGAGGGCTACGTCCCCTCGTACAAATCAGATAGCCTCGTGTTTCGATGCTCTTTCTATTACTAAGACGGAGAAGAAAACAGATACAAACAAAATATCTTTTGACCTCTTGACTTTGATATAGCAGACGTGGAAATTTTGCGCGCGCTGTACATATCATCTGACAGTGGTGCAAGAATATATCGAACATTTCAACAATCCATCAAATAATAAGCTGGACACAAGGTGCACACACACGCGCACGTATACGCGCAAGGGTTTACTTTAGATGTCCTCAAGATTTTCAAAGATTCTTCTTAGATATGTCTTGTTTGTTTGTAAAATTGACATTAATTTGATATCTCTACAGCAACTCTGTCATTTAAGGTAGCCAGTGCAAATCTGCCCGTCATTATTTGTTTCGGAGAATGAGGCTTACGACGATTTGCCTTTGCAAACATGAAGTTATATAATTACCGTGTGGGCAGTATACTTCTGTGGTGCAATAATGTGAGCTGCCATATAAAAGATGGAGTAATGGATTCCAAAAGATAATCTAAATATATATTCTAATGATAAATGGTTAATGATGTGCATTCAGGGAAAGTGTATGTTACATAAAACTTAATTTAGACCAAAAACTCAATTAGTGTTTTTAATTCAAACAAGTCAAGCAGTCATTTTAACGTCTATTGAGCTTTATTCAGAATGAAAAACCTGTACAATTTTAAGTTTACAGAACAGCACAGTTACAAATGAAAATATCACAGATAATTTTGTTCGAAATAATATATAATGACAACATTACGATCTCAGTGAACACTGGCAAATTCGTAATACAACTAATACAAGAACACGATAGGTCTCTCCGGGGAAAAATTGTTTTGCAATAGATTTAAAATGCATGCATACTATGATCTTATACTTGCTCATATATTATATTGCTATAACCATCTCATATAATATTTTGCTTTGAACTTGAGGTATTTACAATAATTTATTAAACAATAGCTGAAAAATATTTGCCAATCTTTCTTAGTTAGTATTTTATAATATAATATTTGATAGCTGTCAAGTTTTTCTTATCAATTAACAATATAATCATGTTTTAATACTTATTTGATGTTGAAAACACAAAATAGTTACAAACTATGTCAAATTTGTATGACATTCGTATATAGAGGATATTCAAGTTTTTTCTATAAATACATGATTTATTTTCATCAAGTGGTATGAAAATAAATATTTCACGAGTGGCGGTAGCCACGAGTGAAATATGGTAATTTTCATGCCACAAGATGAAAATTAATCATGTATTTATAGAAAAAACTTGAATTTTCTGTTTATTATATACATTTTTCTCTTTTTTGACATTAAAATTTGAAAGACTTTCCCTTAAATTTTGTGTACTGGCAGAATTTAAATGAAAGTAGTGCGGCAAGACACAAGTGAAAATACGGAAAATATGTTTCACTGCAGTGAAAAATAAATTTTTACAGTGAAAATACGGAAAATGAAAATACGCATTTTATTTCATCAATATTTCTCAATATTTCATTTATAAGTATGTAATAAATATGTTTTACCTTAAAACAAAAAACTTTTTCATCAAAAAATGCTTTAATTTATGACAGGAAAACGCCCATTATTAAATCAGAAGACTTACATGTACTTGTTTATTCAAAAAATTGCACATTTCATTTTCTATTTCTACAGCATTCTAACATTTGTGCCCAAATGAAAATAAAAGAAAATCAACAATGAAAAAACCAACAATAATAATTATGCATAAAGGCAGTATTCAAGCATAGACACAGAGCATGACTGTTACAATAAACTTTTCTTTAACAATGATCCACTTCCTTAACCCTTCACATCATATATAAGCGAAACAACGCACTTTCGACCCCCCCCCCCCCCCCCCCCCCTCTTTTAGGCCTCAAATAGTGAAAAAAATGTCCTATTTGGGCCCAAACACATGTTTTCCTTTGGGAAATGTTGCTAAAAAAAGTGAGTACATTTTCGGCGCCGCCCCCCATTCGAAAGATACATCAGGGGGTTGCCAGAAGGGGAATGTGCCCCCTTCTGTTTGGGTGGTTTGAAGGGGGCGGTAGTCCCCCTCATCACCAAGAAAATTTTGGACTTGTGAGAGGCTAAAAATGACCCAGGTCGATCATAAGGTAATGTGTAACCAACGCTGAAAAGCCTTTGACTCTATCTCAATCCATTGAGAAGTTGCAGTACTTTGAAATCAATTTTGATGGAAAAAATCAACGCAAAATAGTGATTTTTGGCAATTTTGAGATTTCCCCTCGTTGCCATGGTAACAGGAAATTTACGTTACAAAGGCAATGGTCCAGTCAACATTTGTGCCAAGTTTGATTAGTATTGAAGCATTTTTCATAGTATCATAGCAGTTTGAACTTGTAACAGGAGGCTTTTCAATGAAAACCGCCATTTTTCACAATATGCTCATGAGGGAAAGGGTTAACTAAAAAAATTTAAAATGTTACAAAACAACAATTTTTCACCAAAATTAGGTGAAAGACCACATGATAACATGGAAAAAGTAGATTTTGGGTAATTCCAAAGTTTTTCATCATTTTTTGTTCACCCTTTACCTCATATATACGCGAAACAACTCACTTTCGATCCCCTCCCCCCCCTCTTTTAGGCCTCAAATAGTGAAAAAATGCCCTATTTGGGCCCAAAACACATGTTTTTGTTTGAGAAATGTTGCTAAAAAATGTGAGCACTTTTTCGGCGCCGCTCCCCATCCAAAAGGTACATCAGGGGGTTGCCAGAAGGGGGATGTGCCCCCTTCTGTTTGGGGTAGTCCCCCTCATCGCCAAGAAAATTTTGGACTTGTGAGAGGCTAAAAATGACCCTAGGTCGATCATAAGGTAATGTTAAACCAACACTAAAAAGCCTTTGACCCTATCTCAATCCCATGATAAGTTGCAGCACTTTGAAATAAATTTTGATGGTAAAAATGAAGGCAAAAAAGTGATTTTTGGCAATTTTGAGATGTCCCCTTGTTGCCATGGTAACAGGATATTTAAGACTGAGCTTGTCATTTCAAAGGCAATGGCCCAGTCAACATTTGTGCCAAGTTAGATTAGTATTGAAGCATTTTTCATAGTTTCATAGCAGTTTGAAATTGTAACAGGAGGCTTTTCAATGAAAACGGCCATTTTTCACAATATGCTCATGAGGGTAAGGGTTAATTATGCAAGACTGTGATAAAAGGTTATGTTCTGCGCAACTGTAATAGAATTCATTTACCACTGCCATCCATGCAAAGTGTGAGTCACAACCAGCCTACACTATTGTCAATTGTGCCATTTATTTATTTGGGCAAACTTTAAGTTTCCATTTTCACTATTTGATTACATCTTATCTACAAATAAGCCATTTATTCCAAGTTTCCATAGCTGAGGACACTGCAATATGTCAGTCATTATTTTCAATATTAGTCTTACACCATGTCTTCTCGCACACATGTAACTCTAATCATAAGTTCTAAATATAGTAACAAATCACATAAAGAAAACCATTATGGTTTATAATGCACTAAATCACCTATAATGATATAAATAAGAAAATTAGTCCTAAACCATAAATAATACAGGTAAAAGTACATCTCCCTGTAGTTTCCCAAGTTATATAAAATACTGTGATCAACTTCTAGGATTTCTTCCTTCAAACACAGCATTTAAATCATCTAAACTTTCCTTGAGACAATCTATAAACTCATGTACGTTTGTTTCTGGTGGGTAGTTGGTAACGTTAAAGCCAATTCTCTCATCTTCAACAGAATAACCTACAAAATATAAACATGCTTACATATTAGATGTCATCAGTAACAATAATGCTTATTGGTGATGGAAAAAACAAATGTTTCCTATCAAAACCCTGCTGACAAATCAGTAATAAGACATTGTTTTTCTCCCTGCACAAATCTTAAGTATGTATGAGAGAAATTGTGTGTAACAAGAAATGTCAAACGACACATATGCCCCCTTTCTAGCCCTTGACTCACATTATTGGTAATTTTGTTATAGAAACTTGCCATAAATAGGTACATAGAAGTGTTCAGTTATGGAAGAAGACTTTGTGATCAAAAGTTTTCAAGAGAATGAACGGAAACCATTCTGACATTTAAGGTCCCGGTGAAGTTGACCTTGAACTAGTGACCCAAAATCAATAGGGTCATCTAATAGTTATGACCAATCAATTTTAGAAATATGAAGATTTTGTGATAAAAGCTTTTAGATAATCAGCGGAAACCATACTAACATTCAAGGAACCTGTGACCTTGACCTTTGACCTAGTAACCCCAAAATCAATAGGGGTCACTTACTAATTATGACCAATCACTATGTGAAATATAACGACTTTATGATGAATACTTTCCTAGATATTTGGCAGAAACCATTCTCACATTTAAGGCCCCTGTGACCTTGACATTTGACCTAGTGACCCCAAAATCAAAAGGGGTCATCTACTAATTATGACCAGTTATAACCAATCACTATGTGAAATATGAAGACTTTGTGATGAATAGTAACCAAGATAATTAGCGGAAACCATTATAACATTTAAGGCCCCTGTGAGCTTGACCTTTGACCTAGTGACCCCAAAATCAATAGGGGTCATCTACCAGTTATGACCAATCAATATGTGAAATATGAAGATTTCATGATGAATAGTATCCAAGATATTCAGCAGAAACCATTCTAACATTTAAGACCACTGTGACTTTGACGTTTGACTTAGTGACCCCAAAATCAATAGGGGTCATCTACAAGTTATGACCAATTAATATGGGAAATATGAAGATTTCATGATGAATAGTTTTCAAGATAATCAACAGAAAACATTCTGACATTTAAGGCCCTTGTGTCCTTGACCTTTAACCTAGTGACACCAAAATCACTAGGGGTCATCTACTACTTATGACCAATCACTATGTGAAATATGAAGACTTTGTGATAAATAGTTCTCAAGATAATCAGTGGAAACCATGTGGTCTACCGACAGAGACGGACAGACCGACATAAGCGATACAATATACCCCTTCTTCATCGAAGGGGGCATAATAACTTAACGTATATCTTACTGCATTTGATTACTGTACATTAATAAGTGTGCAATTTCAAAAAGGTGAACTGGGTAAGACATTTGAAATTAAACAAACATATCTGTACTTTTTCTCTATTTTAAGTAATTTTTAACTTATTTCATACCCACAGCACTTCGTTCAGTGAAGTAAATATAATGGTGTCGTTTATTTACTTTTTAATCCTGAGTAAAGTGAATTGTAAATATACATTATCCACTTACCTACGCCATACCCATTTTGAGTTACAGCACCAAATCCACCTATAACTACAGAGGGACTACTGAGTGTTGATGTTGATAAGATAATATGATTAATGTTAGCATATGCTGGATCCTGATACAGCATTGGTACCTTCCCTTCCTGACCTGCATAATACTTCATAGCAAACAGGTGTCTATCCCAGCCCTGACCTGTAATACAATTTACAGTATATCTTAAGATAAGACTTCGTAAACTTTTTACTTCATTTTGTACAAGCAATCTGGTAGTTTGGTGGTTCTGCCTATATATGAACGCTGAATCTCAAAACAGTTATGAATCTCAAGACAGTTATGAATCTCAAAACAGTTATGTATTTCCTTTTGTGCAAGTAAAAACTGGTTCCAGTGTATGCCTCTTAAATAGGGATTGTTAGTTCAAGTCCTTCTTGGATCACAAACAAAAATTCTCGTGTCATAGACGATCTTCTCTGCTTTCATCAAAATTGAGCTCAACAACATTTGTTAAAACATAACTAATGTGTATATGTCTTCAACCTTATGACAAATACATGCAGTCTTCACGAAAAACTTTTAAAAGCACAGGCCATTCAGGCCAGTAAAATTTCAAATCTTACTGGACCTGTTGATTTTTAGCCGGACCAAATACATAGATAGGTAATAAATTGATGGGTAAACGAAAACACTTTATCATGCTTCCCTTGATAATTTTGAAAGAAGCATAATACTTCTTGTATTCTGGGCCATATGTTGACAGCTTTGAAAAATTTAAAGGACCAAATGTTTAGACAAAATTGACTAGAATTGAACATGAACAAAGCACTTTGCTTCAAACAAATCACTTTAACACAAAATATTTACTTAACTCAATAATCACAAAATCATAGCTAAATGATAAACAATGGTTTAATTTCTTAAGTGTACGGTGCGGTACAGAAAATATCCAAGAAAAAAAAATGGCGGCCTCCATTACTCAATACAATTCAGACATCTTTCGCTGTGTTATGAACATTTAGGACAGAATTGATGGATTTCATTTGCAAAAAAGGCAAAAAGATCAATCTTTTAGAGAACCCTACTTCATTATTTTGATGAATTTTTCTTATAATATTTTTTCATGGCCAAAAATCTGCTGGCCCGTCGGACCACCAGCCTTGCAATAATCACCAGACCGATGCTAAATTTAGTGGCCTCGGGCCTCGGACTGGCGTTTATTTCGAAGACTGTACATGCATACAGAAATCTTTGCAATGTTCCTGGATTTTCTTTGAACTTTAGTGGTAGTTGCAAAGTTATCTTTAAAGGGACTCCACTGAGGTTTATAAGCCTAAAAACAAATTATTTGAATTTCTTACATAAATGAGCTGGGGCACTTTGAACAAAACTATGTGCAAAGATAGTTAAGAAATATACTTTGAAATAAATTGAACATTGTAATTTTATGCTTTTCTTAGCCCAATTTGAGTGAAAAGCATATAAACGCTTTTCATTTTTGGTCATTTTTTACAATTTGAATAATTTTTTTGGAAAAACAAAGTGTGCGAATGATCTGAAATTTTGCACAAGTATTGCTTTTCTTAGCCTGATTTGAGTGAAAAGCGTTTAAACTTTAAACGCTTTTCATTTTGAGTCATTCTTTACAATTTGAATAATTATTCTGGAAAAAACAAAGTGTGCGAATGATCTGAAATTTTGCACAAGGATTTATCATAAGTGGTCTGCACCTACATCAAATGGTACATTTATCTGGAAAAAATATTTTCAGTCCTATCATGTCAAAAAACCTCAGTGGAGTCCCTTTAATTAAATTTCAATAATTCTTGGTTTTCATGGTCCTCACCCAGACCTCTTTATTAGTATCTTATCATATCTTAATCTTAGTAAATCTATTTATATATATCATTATAACTCTAAATTAGCTACATAGATACAGTCCAGTATAATTTGTGTGGAAGAAACATGTGCAATACCCTGTAACACTTAATACATTGAAAATAGTAGAACCAGCCTGTCTAGCATTCTCTACCGTCCTATGTACCATACAGCAACATATATACAAAGAATTTGTTTCTGCTCATATATATCCATACACAGAAATGAATTAAAAGTATACAAACCCATTGCTGCCTCTTTGGTAAGCTGACCATGGTATTTAGAGCATTGTTCAAGAGCTTCTTTCAAATCCCCAACTGAATATGTATTGTTCTTTTGATTAAACATCTCACATGCCTTCTTTGTTGCTGAATATCAAAGAATAATCCAATCATTACAGTGACTACAATGTAACTTCAACGTTAATCATTATAATGCTAGAAACAAAGTTTATGTGTTATTAACCTTTATCACCTTAAATATCTAAAATGGACGTCACTTGTCCATCTTTCATCTTAACAAAACCATTCATTATTTTTAGAGAAATTTTTAGTTAAGTTTTTTGTTTTGGTTCTGGATTTACGGCCCACATTAAGGTCATATGGCATTGAAACAGAAAAGATGATTATGGCTAACCTTGATTGAAACAAACTTAAAACACCTCACTTGCTGGAGCTAAGTAATGCACAGACTCCAGTAATTTGAACCTATTAAGTCACCTCTTACCATCATGCAGGGTTTAACAGTGGCTTCAATTCTGATGCCTCAACCCGTAAAAGCAATCCTCCCCCACAAGCTACTGACCAAATAGCCAACATGGATGTGCTGGCTGATCTTGGTTTGCAACGATTGCATTGGTATAATTAGTTGCAGGCTGCAGGCTTTTCTTGGTTGGCTTTACATCATACCAACACAGTATAGGTCATATGGTGACTATCTAGCTTTGCTGATGGAGGAAGATCTTAGGTGCCCTTCTTTGCATTATTGAAATTCATTTAATTATAAGGCAAGTAATGCTTAATTTCGGGGAAAAAAAGTGAAAACAAAATCAACAACAAGAAAACATTTCCTCACACTTATTTTCTAGTTGTAATGTGAGGGTATTTACCATGAGTTGCTGATCTGATGGTCTCAGTTCTACCATGTCTAAATGCTGCAGTACTACAAGACTCATAGGTGGCCGCTGTCTTACCATACTGTTTGTAATAACCCATCTGTAATATTGTTAAATAAACATGAACTAATATGCTACAGCCAGAAAAAAAAAATATATATATTTTATATATAATTAACTCCCACCACATATGTATATCTCACATATGTAATGTTTGGAAAGATAATTGAAGAGATTTAAGTTGAACAAGATTTTTTTAAGTACAAAGAGGGGTGTTATTTAGTCAAAAACCGTGCTTGAGTTATAGGTCTTGTATAGTTTCTTACAGTTATGACCCTGAAGACATATTAGTTAATTTTTAAGTGAGTTCTTCCAGACATTTACAAGAAATTTAGACCTTTACCAACTGTGACACACAGTTATAAAAGGGTGCACAGAATAGCTCCACTTTTCTCCCAAAATTCATACTAATAACAAGGACCAAATGCCTAAAAATTCTACTGTTTTATTAGTCAACAGATGCACATTGTGATAGACAGACAGACGTCAAATCATATACCCCCCATCGCCTACCAACCAACACTAAAATGGAATAAAAAAGTATTTTTACTATAAAACATTTTTTTTAAATGTATTTTAATTTTTCAAGAAAATATTTACCTGTATCACAAGTTGTAGCATTGCATCAGGACTGAGCTTCATTTGTTTCAAACTTGTCTTTGTAAATTTATAATATTCTAGATGATCAACATCCAAGCTTGTATATTTTTTCTCATAGCTGGTTTTTGCACTGTTTATATATTCCTTTAATTTTGGATCTAGAGCAAATTCTGTAAAGGAACAATGTAGATGTTTTTTCAACTTAGATAAGATTTCAGTATTCAAACAATATTTACCAAGCAAAAGGAACCAAAAGAGCCATAATGGCTCTATATCCATCACTCGAATCTTGATAAATCAGAACCTCGTTGTAACGCACAGTTGAGATCTTGTATCTTGGAGACTATTTTTAAAATGTAGAAAAAACAGTATCTCCCAACAAACATTCATATAGAATTTTGATAATTTTGGCCCAGTGGATTAGGGGGGAGAAGTTGTTCAAATTGTGGAGACAATTATCAAATACATGGCTGAGCCAGCTGCTCTTGGCCTACACTGTTTTGTCACACTGGTAAAAGTCAGATGCTGCCAAGAGGATAAGGGTTAATTCGAAACTTAAATAATTAGGGCGAAATTTTTTTTATATATGTTGCACAGTAAATATTTACGTTCTATTTAATTCATTTGATATATTGGTATATCTGATACATTCTAATACACTTTACACTATTCCCCTATCAAATAGATAGGGCAATCATGTGCATAATATATTCACTGTATAAAAAAGAATTCTTACATGTCATATATGAAGTCAATAAGCCAAATTACTAGTACTTCTATCCTCAATAAAGTTCAACATATATTTATCAATTCTCTTTTTATTAGCATGTTAGAATGGAAAAACATATTAATTTTTCTTGCATTATAGTATAATAATGTGTAATTTGTCATTCAAATGCTTTGTAATTAATCATTGAGGTATATTGGCCTTTGCAATTATATTCCTGCACATTTGAACTCAAAGCCTGCATTATTCAACAACAATGCACTTAAAATTGATATATTTTTCCTAAGTAAACAACTTGATTAAATTTGCCTCATTCTTCATTGCAATTCAAGCTACAAATATCCTATAGATTATTTGGTAATGTAACCTCTATCACTAACAAGACAAGTTTTAAATTTTTTATCAATTAATTACCTATATTCTGTACAGTAAGATTTGAATCCACATTAGATGGCACTGTGCCAGGATGGACGAATGGTTTAGATGTTGATTCTTTCCAGACTTCATTAAAATATCTCAGAACTGCAACACCATCTCCCCAGGAATGTTCAAAGTTAACAGCTGCTCTCCCATCTTTTGTTAGTATCAAGGAAAAACTTTTATCAAACCATCTGGAAGAATAAAACAGATACATATTTTTAACTTTAAAATCTTTTGATGATATTTTTTTGTGTTTTTTTTTTTAATTTCACTGGTGACATGCAAATGTTCCCATTTTCTAATGCTTGCTTGAACTAGAAATATGTCCAAACGATATGGATGCCCCAATATTCAAATGTTTTGTCGGTCCATAGATCGAGTCTGACAGGACAAATACATGTAGGAAAAAAAAAACACAATTTGATATAACCATTATTCTTTGAAATTTGATTTGATATTGTTTTTACAAAATTACTCTATATATACATGACTGCTATCAATCTGTTAGTGACTCCACTTTTTTCTCAAATAAAGGTAGTTTGCTGTATTTTAAAGTTGACAGGTTATATGGCCATATATAAATGGTTGTCTGCAATATAATCCTCACCTAGCAGTTCAGATAATGTATGCAAGCAACAGGATGATCTTAGTTATGCAATGGACACATGGGAAGATCTTTTGCAAGCTAAGGGTTAATTCAGAATTGACAAAGTTATAAAGCATTTATTTGCTCACAACACACTCTATATTTATCTCCTTAAAAAAGTTATGAATCACACCAACCTGTTTGTTCCATCACCATGTAGGAAGTTTCTAGTAATCTCGTTAGGATCTTCTGGCGTGGTATCATCAAGTACCAGTGTAAATAGGGCGGAGTCTACAAGTTTCATGTAACCTTCGTTCATCACCCCTGATGAAAAGAAAGCCGATTCATTCATATCGCCTGTCAAATAAATGTTCGTTCACTTTTACTATCTGGAAATGCTGCTTCAAATTTATATCATATGTATTTTAAATGCCTGTTTTAAACATTGTTGACACGTGATATTATAACTGCAAACCAACAAATAAAGGATGTATCTTTTTGAAAACAAAAATCTGCAATTTTTTTTTGGTGTACTTTTAAAGCATCCCAAAAGTTACTCATTGGCCAATTACCTGAACCATCTATTTCATCTGTTGCTTTTAGGCAAAAAGTACAGTTATTATGCAGTGAATTCGTACATGTATTTTGTTTACGTTTTACTACATTATAAACAACATATTTCACATTTATCGCTACTTTCTTCACGTAACAAGCATCTAACATTTTCTAAAACCATTAATTAAACTTCATAAAATTCATGTTTGTCCTTTATCAAGAAGTAAAATTTTATCTATTTCTGAAGCATAATATGCCTTTCAGTCTTTTTTTGTAATGTTTTGCAAAAATTATTTTGCTAAAAAACATGTACACATAGATAATTGTGTTTACATATAGATACCTGCATTACAGAGTTGTGTTCTCACAGTTGCCCATTTATCTCTGTCCATTGTTGTGAGTACACCGAGGGCATTCTCATTGGCTGGGCGGGGATCATTCAATATATGCTTAATGTGCGACATAATTATCTCTGGTGCAACAATATTTCCTGGAAAATATACAAAAGTTAGAGTCAATCTTTTTTTATTTCAAACATATTGACAACAATCAAATACCTTTACAGTCAATAAATAGTTAAGACTATAACTAAAATATATAATGTTGTATTTATTTACATTAAAAATTTCTGACTCATAACTAAGGGTGGAATGGTTTACTGGTATACCGGTATATTGCAATATGAAAAAATAAATTTTTTGAAAACCGATATTTTATAAAAATCATTATTTTCAATTAATTGAAGTCTAATTTCGTACAAATTTCACATAAAATCTTTAATTGGCGAATTTTATTGGTGCGAACGTAAGATAAAAATATTCGACAACTAGTACACTTAAGCAGCCTAGATGTGAAAGGTCAAGTGCGACTTGCTTTGTTTATCAAATTGTGTGACACTTTCCTTTCTATTTAGTCCTTACATTTTTATTAAGTTTCTATTAAGAATATTTTCACATAATAATATATAATGTTACTCCATGTTTAAATTAAAACATGTACACGTCAATACGTATTGCACTATATTGCAATATGCTTCGGCAAAATGGCAATATATTCCAATACGGTTTTTGCCGTATTGTTACACCGCTAACTATAACAAAACTGTTTACTTGGTTGTGTTTTAAAGCAGCATGCCTCCAGATTCATGCAAATTTTTGAAATTGTATTAAAAAGTAAAATATTGTGAAGTGAAGAAAGAAAATATATGCATTGAAATTGGCCAAACAAACAAATCAACAAAATAATTTACCATCTTTATCTATGGCATCAAATAGGTACATGTGACCTTTTCTCATGACTAGCATGTGCTTGGCTGAGCTGTCTGTGAACAGCACATCTTTACCATGTCTGTAATAGCAAATATATCAAGAAACAAATATTTACATAACTTTTTTAATAAAATAAACTTGACATTACTTCCATATCATATTTATTTTTCACTTCTAAAATCTTGTGATAAACATATTCATGTACTTTGATCTTTGAAAAAACTAAACATACAGGCTCTATCAAAAATTTAAAAGTAGGAATCATAATTGATGATACCTCAGTATCTGAGTAAAACCTCAGAGCTAAACCTTTTAATTACTAAAGCAGTACTGTTGATTTTCATAAACATTTTTAGGATGGATCTAAGTTTGCCTAATTCGGAAATATTTGTTTAACAAATTAAGGTTAAACTGTTATTTAAAGGAATAAGAGCAATTAGTGATCACATGTGTCGCCTGATGATAGCTGGAGTTTTTGAGCTACTGTCTGGACAAGTTTTGTGATGATGGATAGACAGTCGTGCAACCAAAATGAGATAAAGGGCCATTTCTTTTGTTATTTCTTTAGTTTAATACAGGGTCATTGGCCTTTTATTCTGTTGTTATGAAATGATGTCAAAGCTAATCTGAAGCAGGCAACACAAAAAAAAGAGATGCAACATCCTCAAAATAATGAATTTTTCATAATTATTTAAAAATTTTGAACTCTGTTTTAAAAACTGTATTTTCTGCCATTTGGAACAGGCCTTTTTACAACTTGTCTAGAGATAGAAACACCCATAGTGAGCAATAGGTGTAAACTAATAACAACTCCCTGTACATGAAAAAGATACAAATGAAATAAGATCAGTTGCATACTTTGGTATTCTAGTAGAGTTAAACAGGTTTGGATATTGGCTCATGTCTAGTGGAAATGCCTTGTACCAGTATGCTCCATAGAAAGAAACTGCCTTAGGCAACATTCTGAAATAAATGATACAAAATATATGAATATGGTTTGATTGAGTCTGTACATGAAAGATAATGAATACGTGCAGCATCCCTCACACCCTCTCAAGCATATGACAAACAGTCTAGGGAGTAACATTTGTAGGACTAGCTGACAAAAGATTTAAAATAAACTATAGTGCCTTTTTATTATGTGTTTGATGCATCTTACATACACATAAATATGTTACAAATATCTGGCATAGAATTTATTACTTTCACTTAAACAACATACTGAGAAAAGTAATAACAGCATGTGTAATGATATTCCTCACAGTTTAATATCTCACAAATGAGTTTTTTGCTGTTTTACCTGACAAACTTTCTGAACTGCATGGTGTCACTTTGTTTTGGATTCAGGTGATAAACATCTGGTTCTAACAAGTTAGCTCTGTAAGTCTTCATGAAACGTAGAGAAGACATTACCAAGTTTGTCGCTCTCACTAACTGAAAATATGACAATTAACTTTCAATTCTTCATCCCTCAGTAACAAGTGATTTCTTATATAAGTTTTTTTCTATAAATACAGGTTTTATTTTCATTGAGAGGTTTGAAAATAAATATTTCATGAGTGGCGGTAGCCATGAGTGAAATATGATAATTTTCATACCACAAGATGAAAATAAATCCTGAATTTATAGAAAAAACTTGAATTTTCTGATTATTATATACAATTTTCTCTTTTTTTAACTTACAATTTGAAAAACTCTCACTTAAATTGTACATTTGTACTTGCAGAATTTAGAAAAAAAGTAGTCTGTCAAGACAACAGTGAAAATACGGAAAAATATGTTTCACTGCAGTGAAAAATAAATTTTTACAGCGAAAATACGGAAAATGAAAAAAAGCATTTTATTTCATCAATATTTCTCAATGTTTCATTTATAAATATACATGTATACTACAATGTTGTCTGTTCTATACCTGATCCATATATTCTGGTTTAGGGTCATCAGTAAAGGTAATAAATGGATTGTGGGTCAAGGCAACTGGGCGGCGATCTTTCAAGTACATGTCAAACCATGGCTCTGTTGAAAAATAAAGTCTTTCTTATTAATATATTAATGTATTCTCATACATTCAAGTTAAATTTAGGTTATAGATAAATAATCTTGTACATACTTTCAAATATATTACAAATGACGATTCTGTCAAAACTAGAACTGCCACTATCATGGCGTGAATACCCCCGCATACCACTTTGTCAGAATCAACAGTGGCCATTTAGAGCTCAAGGACAACCTCCCTGCCAAATCTGAGGTTACTAAGCCAGTGCATTGCTAAGTTATGTATTCTACATGCTTCAAATGTGAAAATGTCAAAATCAATACATTGCGGACAGGACATTCTTTAGCAATTGAGAAGAAAAGCTTTTTTTGTCAAGGTCCCTGTGACCTTGACCTTTGACCCAGTGACCTCAAAATCAATAGGGGTCACCTTATAGTCATGATCAACATCCATACCAAATATGAAGACTGTGGGTCAAAGGAATCTTAAGTTAATGGGTGGACAAACTTTTTGAAGTCAAAGTCCCTGTGACCTTGACCTTTGACCTGGTGACCTCAAAATCAATAGGGGTCATCTACTAATCATGACTAACCTCCATGCCAAATATGAAGACTGTAGGTCAAAGGAATCTTAAGTTATTGGGCGGACAAGCTTTTTGAAGTCAAGGCCCCTGTGACCTTGACCTTTGACCTAGTGACCTCAAAATCAATAGGGGTCATCTACTAATCATGACTAACCTCCATGCCAAATATGAAGACTGTAGGTCAAAGGAATCTTAAGTTATTGGGCGGACAAGCTTTTTGAAGTCAAGGCCCCTGTGACCTTGACCTTTGACCTAGTGACCTCAAAATCAATAGGGGTCATCTACTAATCATGACTAACCTCCATGCCAAATATGAAGACTGTAGGTCAAAGGAATCTTAAGTTATTGGGCGGACAAGCTTTTTGAAGTCAAGGCCCCTGTGACCTTGACCTTTGACCTAGTGACCTCAAAATCAATAGGTGTCATCTACTAATCATGACTAACCTCCATGCCAAATATGAAGACTAAGGGTCAAAGGAATCTTAAGTTATTGGGCGGACAAGAAAAAACCGACGGACGGACGGCCGGCCGGACGGACGGACAGCCGGACGGACGGACAAGCTGATTCCAGTATACCCCCCTTACAACTTTGTTGTGCGGGGGTATAAAAAATTATATTCTTTTTCTTTTAAATGTATTTCAAACCAGTAACAAATAGATACATATTTTTTGGCTTTTTAATATATTTCAAACCATTGGTAGGTTAATTAATAAATCAATAGGTGTGCAAAGATTCAGTAAAGCAGCATGCCTCCAAATTCATGCTAATTATCATGAAAATTTTGAAAATGTATTTAAAAGTAAAATACTGTGAAATAAACAAAGAAAGTAATTCTCACACTATAAATGGCCTTGCAACCCACATAAATTACAAAAGAAGAGGTCAAAATATATGAAAATAGAGTAGTAGTATGGTGAAAAATACTGAAAAATCAGTCTTTAGTCACACATAACACGCAAAACAAAATTTATTACTTGAGTCTTGAATATTTTTACGTCTCTTAAAATCTTAGGACATTTTACTCAAGTTTGATTTTAATGAAATATTTTGGCTGATTTGAGGCATGCAGCTTTAATACACTGTGTGTCACCTTAGCGCAATAACTGGTTAATACCTACTGAATTAAGGACTAAACCTGTTATTGCACTAAGGTGACATGCTTTGAATAAATTATCTTTGATCTCAATCAGTATAACTTAATGGAGCATGATATATAACAAAACCACAAGTTTGTAAATAAATAGATAATATTCTTGTACTCAAACCATGAGTCTGTAAAATTCATGTGGATAATCAATAATAATAGAACTTACCTGATATATAACTGGTGTGCTTGTTTTGTTTGTCTCTTTGCAAAAGCTGTTCATGAAGCTCTAAAATAAAGACGAAAATGGATAAAACGGTGTGGAATGCAAAATAATTTGCGATAAAGGTAGCAAAATGTATAACAAGTGATATTTTGACTTCAATACAAAATACTAAATCCTAGTAACTGAACTGAAAGCCAAAACGCAAAAGAAGCAAAAGATGGCAGTGAACTGTAATAAGACACTTTTCTGGGTGAGTACAACAGCTCTCCCTATTTTTTCTTATAGAAGAGCGTAATTTATTTGAGCAAAAAATGAAAGTATTTTTACTCTTCATGGACCTTTAAACATTAACCCAAATATTGTGTTTGGTTTTAGTAACCACAATGACATAGTACTAGAATTGTGAAGAAGTTGACCTATTATCAAAATCTGGAAGAAATGTGATCCCTCGGAAGCAATAATCACAGTTTGATTGAGTCTGTACATGACGGTCAATGAAATAGTGTAATATCCCTCACGCCCTCTAACACCGGCTTAAGGGGTACTCAATTTTCAACACTTTAAAAGTGCTGGAATCAATGATCCCAAACGTATTGGTCTTACCTTTTCCTTCTCCAGCAAGGAACTCATCAACTAACTTTTTGGTGGCTGTGTGTTCTTTATCTGACTGCAGGACAGCCTGAGATTTCAGGTATCTCTCACAGGTAAGTTCGAGTTTTGGAATTGGTAATCGAGGTAAGCTCTTCTGAAAGTGATCTGATGGAACGATGCTTTCATGTATGTAATCAGATTTACTGGACATACACCTGAAAGAATATGAAATTATCAGAGATAAAATCCCCAAAAATTGTGTCAATACAGTTATTCAAATTTGTATTTTACCTTATTTCTTTCAATTCACTGAATCTATTCAATTATAATAATTAATAATAATAAATTGAAGTTAATATCAAACATTTTTTTATTAACAACTTTAAAACTATAGATTCACAAATCATGTGTACCTGTTATATCATATGGTCACTTTATTTTATATTTTGATCATTATATATATATTTTAAATAGGTATGTGTTTATATATAAGAAAGTTAAACATCTATGGAAGCTGTGAAATGCTATACTAACCTACATGACAGCAATTCAGCTGACTTGACTTTGTCCTGAAAATACATACAAAAGAAATTAATGAAAATTAGTCAAAACATTTTTTTTACTGATTATAAATTAATAATTTAAGAAGAATGTCTGTAATGATAAATAGATATTCTAAATTTCAAAAAATGACAAGGAGTTAAATATTTTGTATTGACAATTATTAGGTAAACACTTGGCTCATTTCACCCACCATGATCATCCCCTGCCTGTCCCAGGGGTTGAAGAATGACGGGGGAGGGGGACATCATTACATTCAATGTTGCAATAATCTTTGAAGCTCTAAAATTTACATTGCAACAAACAACCAAGTTTACTGATAATTACGACTTTCATTTTATTTTATGAGAAATCCAAGAGAAACTGTCTAAAATTATGAACATTTAATTAATAATGATCTATATTACTTTTTCTAAGTGATAATTAGGGTCTGTTAATTCAATCAATCAGGTCTGTTAATTCAATCAATCAGGTCTGTTAATTCAATCAATCACAGAATAGCATTAGGTTTCATTGTATGTTAAGTATACAATATATGCCATTTCTTTGGCATTCCCCTATATCCAATTTTCCAATTGTATTTTATATAACAGTACATACGATGTCTACAATACACCAAACAATTATTTAATCACCTTACGTTAACAGTGTTAACATACCTCTGTGCAAAATTGGCCCAAAGACGTTTCAGCCCTTTTCCGCGAGATGTTACAGCCCTTTTTTATGACATTATCTATCTATCTCTTAATATAACTATTTATACATACACGTACCCCACTGAGCCACACATTTTTGATGTTGGGGTTACTTTTTTATCAAACTGCAGTCAGTGTCTGAGGTTTACAATAATGATGAGAAGGTGAAACAAGAGCACCGCTAGGCGGAGCGTTATATGCCCGAAAGTACTTTTTCTTTTAGTAAAGATGAAGCATTTGTAAGACAATAGGGTTCTTCTTCCCAATATGGACAATCATCCTATGAAGTTTGAATACAGTGGGCCAAATGGAACTTAAGTTTTGCTCCGGAAACCATTTTCAGTATTAAGCTAAAAGTGACCTTGACCTTTGACCTTGTGACCCCAAAATCAATAGGGGTCTTCTACCCAATATGGACAATCATCCTATGAAGTTTGAAAACTGTGTGCCAAATGAAACTTAAGTTATGTTCCGGAAATCATTTTCAGTTTTACTGTAATAGTGACCTTAACCTTTGACCTTGTGACTCCAAAATCAATAGGGGTCTTCTAACCAATATGGGCAATCATCCTATGACGTTTGAATATTGTGGGCTAAATGGAACTCAAGTCATGCTCCGGAAACTATTTTCAGTTTTACAGTAACAGTGACCTTGACCTTTGACCTTGTGACCCCAAAATCAATAGGGGTCTTCTACCCTATATGGACAACCATCCTATGAAGTTTGAAAACTGTGTGCCAAATGGAACTTAAGTTATGCTCCGGAAACCAAATTGCTAACGGACGGGCGCCAGGGGGTATAACATAATATGCCCAAAATTCTTTCGGGCATATAAAAAGATAATGTGTCACAGGGGGTATGAAGAATTTACTAGCAAGCAATCACAGACAGGAAGAATAGAACAGAGTCTCTAGCATGTCCTCTGTGGGAAAGGTATTAAATTATCAGAGTAGAGGTAAATGTATTTACAGGAACTATAGTTACATTGTTTGAGGATGAACAATTGTTGCTTTGTGTAATGTCATGGACAGTGAATGGAAGTTATGAGGTCTCTCATAAGGTGCTCAGTTGGTTAGATCACTGACTGTCACTACTGAGGTCCAAGGTTTGATCCTGGGTAAAACCCTTGGGATTTTTCAGTGTTTCCCACCTAACTAGAGCTGTACTGGTAAGAAATCCAGGTAATCCTTGCATGTATCAATGCTATACATTGGACTCGTAAAAGAACCAAGGGGTCTTTTCAATAAGAGCTAGGGACTGGTTCCCAGATTCCCTTGTACCTCATAGCTCTCTCTGAAGTGACTAGTCTAGAGTCATGTCTACGTCCCCAGGAGGGGTTTGACATTAATAGAAGATAGATAGATAATGGAAGACAGATAGGTTAGCCATTTAGCAAAATACTGAGTGTTCACTTGTAATCGAGATATCCACGGTTCAAATCCCACTATCAGTGAAGTGAGATATTTAGGAAAAAGATATCAATTTTGAGTGCATTCTTGTAGAATAAGGTATGCAGGTTCCAGTTCAAATGCGCAGAAATAAAATCATGAAGGCTAATGGTCCTTTGTGATTAATTACAAAGCATCTGAATGATTAACACTATTTACCTAGTTAAATAGGTAGTGGTGGTGTTGGTAGTTTTCTAAAGGTTTTTTCCCTGATATATTTAAGATCCTTGGCAAATATAATCTCTCAACTTTTTTACTCGACTTTCACAAAACAGGATGTTTTCCCGATAAAATAGCGTGGAAAAGAATAGTTAAACGAGCAATACAATATAAAGTAGAAAGGATAACTAACGATAGCACAATGAAAAACTATATATTGATACATTCAAAGTATGAACCTAGTAGCCTCTGGATATTATTATTTACATGTGTGTAAAAAAAATAGATAAATACATTATATTAATGTGTGTATATATTTAAATATCTATGATTTCAATACTGTAACCATAGATCTTCTGTAATTATTTGCATTGTAATTGGATATTTTACTTGTTCCATTATAATTGTATAATTGTAAAAATGTGCTCTTCTTTTGGAGGAAATAAAGAAATTATTATTATTCTCTAAAGTCAACAAGAACTGTGACATATTTATGTCATGCTGTAATTCAATCAATTTGCATTATCTTGAGAGAAACTATTTTAATGAAGGTAGTTAGATACAGTTGAGTTCACACTATGGGTCTACACAATTAATTATTTTTGATCTACTAGTTGAAAGTACATTTGTAATGATTTTAAGCCTGAATAGCCTTTAATACATTAAAAAATTGATATGTTTATAATTGGCTAAAATTTTGTCAATTTTATTTCATTATCTCTCTTAATAACCTTCTCAAACTGAGATTTACATAAGATCTATATCATTGATATAATTTATTCTGAAAATAAATTTATATATAATGGTGGTATGTATGAAATGTGGATTAAGTATTGATAAGTGTTGATAAATATCCTGTGGGGCACTAGAATACTTAAACTGACATTGATACTAACAAAAAAATTAGAAAATCTTTCAATTTCATTTTTTTGAGACAACAATAGTCTTTTTCTTCCTTTATTTTCATGCATTGTAACAAATGTAACATGATTATTTTTATGAGTTTACAGTCATTGATTTTAAGATTTCGAATTTAATGGCCCAAATTTCAGTTTTGAATTTATTCTACTATATATTTAACTAAAATTTCTTAAAATTTACACTGGCCCAAACTAATTATCACTGGCCATGGGCCACGGGGCCCCTATGTTATATATTATAAATTATACAGGCAAAACCCCACATGTCAAACCCTACACCTTAATATTTTAAAGACTGGACAAAACCCAACACATAAATTTTATAGAGAGGACAAAACCCCACACCTGAAATTTTATTAGAGTGGACATAACCCCACACTTTTATATTAGACCTTTAATTGACAATAAAATAAGTGACATTTTTGATAATTAATGATAATTATGTTTAATGAACTAGCTTCTACCATTTGATTTTTATTTAACTGTTTGTAATAATATTTGTATATTAACCCTTTGATTTTTAACAAAATTTATAAACAGTTTATAATATTTGTATACTGTATTCCTAGAAATATTCGCGGATACAATATTTCGCGTTTTTCACAACGTCGGCATTTTCACGGAGACAAACTTTCACGGATTTGTAGTTAACGCGAAGTCCGCGAATATTAAGTCATACGGCCTAAATTACAGTTTTTGGAGGCTACGGTATAAACCTACATGTATTTTATGTCCAAAACATAAAAAATAATATCAAAATAAAAATTATTCCTGGTCTCCACCCTGGTATATGCGCATGCAGTATAGCCTATTTTCTAATTATGAATGTCACATGAATGATTCAGCAATTCATGCAATTCATGATTAACCTTAAAATCTATAAATTAGAACGAGTGTATTACTTAAAAGTAGCTGGAAATTTAGACGTCTGGATTTATATAACGTTAATGTCGTGCTACTTTAACAGTATTCGACTGTAAATTGCTCTCATTATAATTTATCAATGTTGCACTTGATCGCTTTTGTATTTTTAAACAAGAGCTGTCGGTAGGACAGCATGCTCGACTATTCTTAGTGCTTGATAGTAAAAAAAATGCCTGATACAGTTACCTCCTCCTGTTTACAGGTTGGGGTCATGATGGTGAACAAGTGTGCAAAGTTTCAAAGCCATATGTCAATGGACTTTGAAAATATTTGAACTATTACAAAAACTTTAACGTAAATTCTAAGTCGAAAAAGGGGCATAATTCTGTCAAAATGCTTGATAGAGTTACCTCCTCCTGTTTACAGGTTGGGGTCATGATGGTGAACAAGTGTGCAAAGTTTCAAAGCCATATGTCAATGGACTTTGAAAATATTTGAACTATTACAAAAACTTTAACGTAAATTCTAAGTCGAAAAAGGGGCATAATTCTGTCAAAATGCTTAATAGAGTTACCTCCTGCTGTCTACAGGTTGGGGTCATGATGTTGAACAAGTGTGCAAAGTTTCAAAGCCATATGTCTATGGACTTTGAAAATATTTGAACTATTACAAAAACTTTAACGTAAATTCTAAGTCGAAAAAGGGGCATAATTCTGTCAAAATGCTTGATAGAGTTACCTCCTCCTGTCTACAGGTTGGGGTCATGATGGTGAACAAGTGTGCAAAGTTTCAAAGCCATATGTCAATGAACTTTGAAAATATTTGAACTATTACAAAAACTTTAACGTAAATTCTAAGTCGAAAAAAGGGGCATAATTCTGTCAAAATGCTTGATAGAGTTACCTCCTCCTGTCTACAGGTTGGGGTCATGATGGTGAACAAGTGTGCAAAGTTTCAAAGCCATATGTCAATGGACTTTGAAAATATTTGAACTATTACAAAAACTTTAACATAAGTGGTTACGCCGACGCCGACGCTCGGGTGACTGCAATAGCTCTACTTATTCTTATCGAATAGTCGAGCTAAAAAGGATTACACCTACTTCAAGCAAATAAAATCCAAGTCATTCAATGTACGCAAACTGTTAATACTATTGAATACGCCGTGACTAGCAAATAACGTCAATAAACATGAATATTACTAATAATTGACATTTTTTCTTTCAGGGTCTTTTTGTTATGTGCATTATTGGTATTGTAATTTTGTCATTGCATATTAAACCCCGTATGTATCCGCAAGTAAGATTATAATAAAAATTCTGCATGTTTATGTTTATATTTGGTTGAAGCTAGAAATGTTCGCGGATTTGTTATAACTGACATATTCGCGGCTATAAAGATTCGCGGAATCATGCCGACCGCGAAAAGCGCTAACTTAAAACGCGCGAAATCTTTTCTAGGAATACAGTAGTCTATTATCATTCAATCATATTGTATTGAAATACTTTAAAAGATATTTTTGCAGATGGCCAACACTAAAGAAATTTGAAATTTTAATGTCAACAAATGTTAAAATTAATGTTACCAACTTAGCAAAATATATATACTTTGCATCAAAGTTACGAAACTGGTTATCAAATTTATGATGTGTTAATTGTTGTTATACACTGTTATAATTATTAAATTGACAATTAAGTCTCATACTTTATTGGTCTATAAGTAATTAAAATGTCAGCCAAATACGTTATTATGATTGTATTTTTTTCTCTTTGAACAATTGAAATTGAAGTCTCGTACGTAATTGTTATTGTGAATTTCAAACAGTATTCATAAATTATACCCTGTGTAAATCATTTCTCATGTAATTATGTTCTTGGTATTGCTATAAACTTTGTAAGTTTAAAGCTGAATAAAGTGTATTGTATATTGTACTGTATAAATCATACCAGTAATTATCATGATCAAAGGAACTATGTAAAACAATTACAGTGTCAGACTATAAAAATATCAAACTTAGTAAATAATCTGTTTTGTTCTTTTCTTACAAGATGAAAATAATATGAATTGTATGGTTTTATAAAGAATGAGAAGAAAGTGTGAGGCTATGTCCACTATATAAAATTAAAGATGTATGGTTTTGTCCACTCTATAAAATTCTTGTGTGGTGTTTTGTCCACTCTTAGACTATAGATTTTGAGGTGTGGGGTTTTGTCCAACATTCTATTTCTACACTTACAGTTAAATATACTGGTTAATAAAAATATGATTACAATTAAATCTAAAAAAAATTTAATTTTAAGTTTTAACATGATGTCACCTAAAATGTTTAAACTGACAATTTAAAATTTACTTATTCATTTTCATGTACATGTATATGCCATAATTATATCCCTTAAGTTTTTTTTCTTACAACAGTTAAACGATGGATGATCCCTGTCACTTGTTATCCAATTATCCAATAACACATTTAGGTGTACCCTACCCTGGCCTGTCTGGTCATATGGTCTAGTGCACTAGAAGTGAAACAGTGTGCACTTCTAGTTCAACTCTAGTGCACTAGAAGCTCACAAAGGTGAGAAGTTAAGTGTGATTCAACTCAATTGTATGGTTTGTTTGTACTCTTCTGTTTTTTAGTCTACATTTTTGAACAAAGAAAGTTAGATTGATGAAATAATGCCTCACAGTTTATCAGTGCGTTTACATAAATTTCAGAAAATTTATGGCCATTGCAGCCCTAATAATCACGTGACTTGCAAGAATTTAGATTCGGCTACCTTTGCATGACCAGTGACCCAAATGCTACACATGTATATTTTTAATTGAAAACAATTTGCTTTGTTATTATGAATAACAGTGTATTTATTGAATAACTGACGTTGTACCAAAATTATGTTGGATTCATAATGCAGGACTCAAGCTAGGTTCAAAATTTAGGGAGAAGTCACTTCTCCCTCCAGCTGCTTTAGGGAGAAGTGGTTAGACTTTAGGGAGAAGTGAGGAGATTCATTTATCGATGTTTGTTGTATGTTATCGCAATTATGTTGACTCATTGTACATATCTTATTAAATGAATTGGATTTGTGTTAGTACTGTTACAACAGAATATTCAATTTTAATTTAAAAGTAGTTTGAAACAAGTAATAAGAATGAGTATCATGTAATGCAACCATTGCATTAAATGAAGATAAAAAAGCCATAGTTGATTCCTATCATGGATCATATCATGGGTGGATTAAAAGTTATTCCCTTCTGATTTACTATTAAAAAGCTTGCGCCGGACATTATATTCATATTCACTTACGTTGTAAAGAAAATGAACGTAGATAACGAAAGAAACGATCTTTAATTTAACTTCATTTGTAATAAATACAGTGTAATACGCTGTCAATTTTATCAAATTTAACTCGTCGACAAAAAAGGTTATCATAACTTTCATTTAAAATTGCCGTTACAGTTATATGTCGAGCGGTCCTCATAATTCTGACAATCATTCGATAGTAAAAATATAATTGACGTTTCATCCGTCCATCATAAATAATTGTTACGGGTAGTTGTATGTTAGCGATTTAATGATTGGTTTAATAATGTCGCCTCGATTAAAACGTGAATTACGATTGGTTTCTCGCACGTATCGGTAATCTCGCTGTGGGCGGAGTCTAATTGTTCCCTGAGCGTCTGTTAATTAGACTTTTATGACATGTTGGTAAACAAACGGATTAATGACATTTCGCGTTGATTGAGATGCATGACAGTCCCTTTTTCCGGCGGCGAGGGTAAACAAAGCAAACACACACAACATGTTATTCTTGTTGGTAATTTTCAATAATTGATCAATAAAATCGGGCGACTTCATCTTCGCTTTCATGTAGGATGTCGGCGTAGTCAGACGGAATTCGGCGACTATTTCGCCCGAATCGCCCACTAGCTCGAGCCCTGTAATGTTTTGAGTGATGATTCATGATTTCTTTTTGTATTTATTTAAAATCATACAGTAATAAAAATAGTGAATAGTCTGTTACTAAAAGTAGATGCTAGAATTTCAAAAACTTGAAGTCCCGTGAGATTTCATTTGTAAGCAGACTCCATATTGGTAAACAATCTTTACATATTTCAGTTGGGTACACAATGTCATTGAAGTTTCATTTAAAAAACAAAACAAAAAACATGCATTGATTCAATATTAATTTGTTTATCAAATGGTATTTTTATTTGACCAAAATTTGTTTAATAAGGGTGGTTTTAATAGACTTTTATGTACTACACACAAACTGCCAAATTTCTGGTAGCCTTTGCAAATCGGGTAGACCCATAACTTTACTGTGGCAGAACGGAAAATGAAAGCGACATATAAAGTTATGGAAGCCAGAAGTATTCATTACCATACTATATCTATAACTTGAGAACAGAACAGAAATTTTATTAAGACCTGTACAAAGTACATCATCTACAATACATTATATTCTCATATATATTAGCTGCATGAACATTTACAAACAAAACCTGCTGGATATCACAATTTACGTATACAATAATTTCATGATAATAAATAAGAAGATAAACAATTAAACACACAGACAATAAGCATACTGTATAGCTATGAAATATGATGTGCATTTACTGTATACTTTTTTAAATAAATAAGATTAATTATCAATATAATTGGAATGGAAACAAAACATTTGGAAAATGAACATAGATTCAATTTCAGACATTATTAGTTAAAAGTGTATACCTAATGGAAAGAGCTTCTTTAACAAATTTTAATAAACGTATAAGCTCATTTTTATTTTGAGTTTATGCCACAGTTTTGTAAATTTTTATACACATTACTGATGTATTTCTGTAATAGTAAGTTTAAAGTGTAGTTTTCTTAAAACGTCATAGCATTTTCAAGAAAAAAGTTATTTCTATTTCCAGATTTAATTTTCCAGACATAACTTCTCTCGATGTCTCGAAGTATTACTTGTATCTAAATTTGACATATCCGAACTTTATGCCAATTGTGTCAACATTACAATTTTTGACCTTTCATATATATTGTAGATAAGAATAACCAAAGAGTAAACATACCTTCATTAAACCTAAATTCGTTGCACGTATAAATTTCATAGCATTTGACTGTCCTGGTCGTAAACGATACATTTTTATTTTCACTAAAATTATTTTCAAGAGCAGACAACTGTGACCGGTGAAACTAAATACACGGAAGGTTCTCTTTTAGCGGAAAAAAATGATATTGCGGAAAGATTACTTCTTCTTGCGGTATTACACAGATGAACAACTTTAAACCTTGTAACTTATAATTATATATGATTGGTGAATGAATTTATTGACATATAAACCAGTAATTATTAAAGTGTTTTGGCTATATTTTCTTGATCATGCTATTAATCCCTTTCTTAGCCGCCTGTAATGTACATAGACCTATCGTGATAATTTTAATTAATGCTATTAATGTTCCATTATAAAAGCTTTGTATTGATCACAGTTTGTATAATTGTATATCCATAATAAGGTGACTTATAGGTCCAATGGGCCGAGTGTCTTTGCATACAACTAGCTTTTCTTATCATGTATGTGAAATTTATATATATATATGCACAATGTCACTATAATAAACAATTTACTTACTTTACTTCCTATTATTGGCTATGGCAAATATATCATAGTCATTAACAATTTTACCATTTATTCGAACCCGAGCGTTATTCAGTTGCATGTGAAAACCATGCATTTCATTTTTGCTGCAAACTACTTCAGTTGTTGCACAGAAATTCTAAATCGACCGGAAATTTTGAGCGAAAATGACCATTTTAAGTTAATCAGTGCACAGTCATGGAGCTAAATATAGATTGTATACATGTATATATATATCTGTGGCATAGTATAATAGTAATCAAAAATTAACCCAATGCAATTTTCAGAAAGAGATTTTCAGATTTTTTTTGGTATTTGACCTTTGCTTTATTTTGAGTGGCGATTCATTGACTTAAAATAATTGGAACTATGGTCATTGATATTGACTGATCTCTAAAATAAGCTAACAATTCATGTAATATATCTTTTAAACGTATATTTAAGAAATAATATATCCCAAACATTGATTTTATCGCACAATAACATCACTGTTTGGAGTTCAGATGCGAGGAATTATATCACGAGGGCGTAGCCCGTGTGATATAATAATGCGCATCCGAACGACAGTGATGTTATTAAGCGATAAAATCACCGATTTGGATATATATTTTCGATTCTAGCACGACATCCACAAATGAATACTGCCGTACTTGATATTATTAATTGCTCCTGATATGCTTCCGTACTTATTTTCAGTGCGTCACATTTTTAGTGGTTACGACACGTGTATAATGATGACGTCGCATGCCTAGCTATAGAACGTCAAACTGTGATTTTATTGCATACTAACACACACTTTCGGTTCTTCTATGTTCAATAGGGAAGAAATGCGGGTCGTGTTAGAATGATTTATAATGGGAATTTTAGAATGTATTGAAAGGACGTTTCTTGATATAACCCACAAGGTCACTTTTAAATATTTCAATTATTTTGATAATGTTTACTTTCAAATTAACATAAGGATAAATTGTGTAGTTAAATATTTGCATAAAATATTAGGCATTGTCGCACCCAGCACTTCCACTGCTTTGATCTTACTTGAATAAGTTTAAATACAGTACACAATCACGTGGTAAAAGTGATAAAAGTACAAATATGCATTTTTAAATTCAGAATAAACAAATATGCTTAAGCTTAAGCAGATTGCATAAATTTTTAGAATGGGCTTCCTATTCTTGAAACATAAAAAAACAACGTACGTAGTGTTGTTAAGGACATTCATATGACTTATCAACAAGACATTAATATGGGGTAAAGATATACTATGCTCATCTTTGGGTAAAATACTTTGTTTCAGAAATTTATCAAAATATAGGAAATTCTTACTGAATATAACTAGTTTGAATAAAATAATTAATGTATCACTATGATCGGGAAGCTACATTTCCTAATCCTGGTATAATTATCAAAGTTGAGCATTATATATCCTTAAGTCAAAACAAATAATAAGAATAAATGAGTGAATCTGTATTACACAAAAATAGTTTAATTTAGACCTGGATAAGTTATAAGTTTATGTTTGTTTCTGAGACAAAGTTAAACCATTTGAAAATACCTAGCTATTGCCACATATGGAGTATAGATGTTTTAATTTGTCCTATTTATTCTGACTTAAGAAAATTGTTTATACCACGTTATGTATGTGCATCCTAGTACGGTTGACTTTATTGATCTATTGAATACAATCATGTTATACTAATACTTTGAATAAATTAGCAATATTTTATATTGCAATAAATCATTTAGTGTCAGAAAGGAAAAGAAATGACTAATGGCTGACAATACCAAATGTTAAATTTGAATATTTGTATTTTCACTCTTGCTGAATTCAAAGTATGCTGTTTATTTGTGCAATGACAAGAAACTGTTATGTTCAAGTCATATTGTATAATAAGATCTGTTCTGTTCTTTTGAAATCTTTTAAACTTTAATGGGCTTTATCTAAGTTCATAACTGGACAAATCCTTGACACAAAATCGGCAGGTTTAATGTCAAAGGCCCATTATGCCTCAGAAATGCAATCATTTTTATTTCACAAAAATCTTAATATTTTTTGGTATATTGCTACAGTTTTCAAGATACTAATTTGCCATACATATGAACTTTCTTTGTTTCTTTTGCTTTGTTGGCAATTGTTATGATTATAGTGAATTGATATTTTGTAGGAAGTCAAAATACTACTTTGTTTACATTTTGCTACATTTACGACATATAACTACACATTCAGTAGTACTTTCTTCAGCTATTTAACATCTATCTAGCTCTAAATCCGTTTTGAAGGCATTATTAAACACATGATTCATATTTCTAAAGAATTTCATATATATGGATTTCAGACGCATAATGAGCCTGAAGATCTGAAGATCAAAGACACGACTACATATACTGTACGTTGATTTTTTTGATCAGCTTATGGCCCTTATATGGTCCGTCTTTCAAAATTTTTCTTAACATAAAAACGTTCCAGCATGATTTGATATGTTTTCATTGTAGAAGTAGAAATGTCATGTCCTTACTTTTTCTACTTTGTTAAACGCACTTCAAAAATTGAAACAGCGTAAACTTGAAGAAATGTCAGTACCATTATTTGATAAAACTCTTCTACTTGTATTTGTGAGAAAAAGAATTGAGACCTTTGTAGCTCTTATAAGGTGAAAGCATCTCCCATTTTATCATAAATAATAGTATACACATTTTATCAAGGACATTTTGTTTACCCATGCACAAGCTTTTGAATAAGAATTCTGTTATTTTGTAAATCCTTTCAGTGTACCTTTGTTAATGATGAATATATAAGATAATTCAATTCATGATTAAGATATATAATTACAATATCTTTTGGTAGATCTTCAATGCTGATTCATTGAATTATCTTCTTTTTACAATAACGTATTTATACAACTGTTTACCTGCTTGCATTAAATAAAGCATAAACCTCAAGGGGTAATAACGTTTTGAAATTGTAGACAAGGCCTTTGTCTGTTGAAAACGTACATTTCTGTTATATAATTCACCTTTCTTTTTTGGTTTGGTTTATAACTTTATGTCGCAGCAACACGGTTTAAATTATATGGCGACATTCCAGCTTTATTGGTCGAGGAAGACCTCAGGTACCTTCCGTGCATTATTTCAGGCACGAACGGGCACCTGAGTAGAACCACCGACGTTGTGTATGCCAGCTGGACAGCTTCCTCACATGAAAAAATCCAAAGTACCTGTTTGGATTCGAGCCCACAGTGGCGAGGGATAAGTGGCTTGAAGTCAACGACCTTATATATACACTCGGCCACGGACGCGTTTTTATATAATTCAAAAATACATTTAACTTAAACTATTTAAATTGAATGGGTAGTCAAGCAAGTTTAAAAGTGTTTTGTAAAGTTGACCACAAAAATTACATAGACTCTGTCATTGAATATATTGACTTGGGATAAATCCTTTACTGCTGATTTGCCATGCTCTCAATCCGGAACAGTTCAAGGCATTTCAGCATTAAAATATACAGTCTGCTCCATACTGTCTCGGATTAAACATGGTAATAGTTTACTGTCCCATTCGGAACTGCCTCGGCCATTATCTACAATATTGACCTCGGAAACAATACGGATTGAAAGTAGTTCTACC